AAAGTACTCGTCCAGAAAACGCCATTTGAGTTGATCCATCAATTTTCTACCAATAGAATATTGCTAAAGGTTTCAGATGACACACAAGTAGGCAATTTCGTCAAGCAGGCAATCCATGAATCTGCAATAAATAAGGAAATCGAAAAAAGAACGGCTGAAAAACCACATGAGCAATCGTCGATAAAAACATGAATAAACAAGATCGTAATGCCGAAGAAAACTAAATTTTTGTTCATTCATACCTTGCCAGCATTCCTGTAGTTTTTTTTCATAATTTGAGCCCAGATCACTACGAAAAATGCATGAAAATGCACGATTTTTCGCTCATCGAACACTTTGCTGTTTGCCAAAAACGTGTCTGTAATTTTGATGGCGAAAACCGGTCTGACCGGTTATATTCAAGTCAAATGACGTAACAAGTGCTGGGGGAGGGTCACGTGCCAGAATGTTATAGTATACAGTTAATACAGCTAGAATGTTATAATATATATAATACACAAACGCGACCTTGTTGGAAGGTTATCGAAATAATTGAAATACTTATAACTGTTTATTAAGTTTGCATGCATCCAATTTTAACAAAATACACACATTATACTGATTATAGGAATAAACTGGTGTCATGCATGAAAATCAAATATATAGTTCACACCCCTCACTTAGTCTTAGTTCATCTTAGTTGTTGTAGTTTATGTGAAATGATGAAAGTTCTAAGTAGAGCTCTTTTTAGGATGCTTGGCAATTATGAGTACTGCGAAGGTTCTCAATATCCGTTAGAAATGATTCATTCTGACATATCCAACGCTAATTTTAATGTCAATCCAAAGACGGTGGGAGTAGTTATTAAAGATATTTGGAAAGAGAAGGTTAAAAAGAATCACCTCAAACAGTTCGGGTCCTTCGCGATACATGCACTTACGAAAGCGTGAAATAATAAATTCTGACACCGTTGTGATCACCAAATTTGACGAAGATATTATACAACGAATCGAAGCACTAGTATCAACGAGGAATGAAGATTGGGTGGTTGACAGAAAGTGTTTGGAAGAAGATGTTTTACTTTTGAGAAGGTGTTTGAAGAACAACGACATTAGCGTTGAGGTCAGCGTTTGACCTCGGAAATAGCAATTACGTTATCTCCACAGTCCATCACATTGAGCACTTGTGGTAAGGTTGTTCCCCTTAAGGTTGTCGAGCACACAGATGAAATTACCGTGTCACTTTTCACAATCGAAAATGCTCTCCGTCTGGTTGAATGCTCCAAGACATGTTTAGGTAAGCTATATCCAATGGTGATTTTGATTCCATGGTTGTGCCAGTTTCGGGATCAAAGGTTGTTACAACTTCGTCGTCATCAGGAAACGAGGACCGACTTGTTTCTCTCTCGTGCTCTCTAATTACCTGCCAGAATCAAACGTCTGTTTAAACTGTCAGTACGTTTATACATTGTTTCGCCGGAGAAATAACAAGAGGAAATGTAAAAGCAACGCACAAATTCCACATAAACAAGTGCAATACTCGCTACCTGGAGAGAGAAGGGCTTCAAATGAAGATCACCAGCGAAAGGAAAAGGAGAAAAAATGATGTACGAAGGAAACGAGCAGCAGCAAGTTCTGCAAGCGACTTAGCAGCAAGTTTCTACTTGTTGTTTCCAACAATGCTCCATATCTGGTGGACAGCATTCTTATCAGCAACAGATTGGAATATTTTCACAAGGTCTGCGTTGTCATTCTCGTTTTTTAACCGAATTAACTCGTCATCCTTCCTTCTCGTTTCTCTCGTAATCATTTTTCTCCTTTTCCTTTCGCTGGTGATCTTCATTTGAAGCCCTTCTCTCTCCAGGTAGCGAGTATTGCACTTGTTATGTGGAATTTGTGCGTTGCTTTTACATTTCCTCTTGTTATTTCTCCGGCGAAACAATGTATAAACGTACTGACAGTTTAAACAAGACGTTTGTCTGGCAGGTAATTAGAGAGCACGAGAGAGAAACAATCGGTCCTCGTTTCCTGATGGACGACGAAGTTGTAACAACCTTTGATCCCGAAACTGGCACAACCATGGAATCAAAATCACCATTGGATATAGCTTTACCTAAAACATGTCTTGGAGCATTTCAACCAGACGGAGAGCATTTCGATTGTGAAAAGGACACGGTAATTTCATCTGTGTGCTCGACAACCTTAAGGGGAAAACCTTACCACAAGTGCTCAATGTGATGGACTGTGGAGATACGTAATTGCTATTTCCGAGGTCAAACGCTGACCCTCAACGCTAATGTCGTTGTTCTTCAAACACCTTCTCAAAAGTAAAACATCTTCTTCCAAACACTTTCTGTCAACCACCCAATCTTCATTCCTCGTTGATACTAGTGCTTCGATTCGTTGTATATCTCTTCGTCAAATTTGGTGATCACAACGGTGTCAGAATTATTATTTCACGCTTTCGTAAGTGCATGTATCGCGAAGGACCCGAACTGTTTGAGGTGATTCTTTTAACCTTCTCTTTCCAAATATCTTTAATAACTACTCCCACCGTCTTGGATTGACATTAAAATTAGCGTTGGATATGTCAGAATGAATCATTCTAACGGATATTGAGAACCTTCGCAGTACTCATAATTGCCAAGCATCCTAAAAAGAGCTCTACTTAGAAACTTTCATCATTTCACATAAACTACAACAACTAAGATGAACTAAGACTAAGTGAGGGGTGTGAACTATATATTTTGATTTTTCATGCATGACACCAGTTATTCCTATAATCAGTATAATGTGTGTATTTTGTTAAATTGGATGCATGCAAACTTAATAAACAGTTATAAGTATTTCAATTATTTCGATAACCTTCCAACAAGGTCGCGTTTGTGTATTATATATATATAACATTCTAGCTGTATTAACTGTATACTATAACATTCTGGCACGTGACCCTCCCCAGCACTTGTTACGTCATTTGACTTGAATATAACCGGTCAGACCGTTTTCGCCATCAAATTACAGACACGTTTTGGCAAACAGCAAAGTGTTCGATGAGCGAAAATCGTGCTTTCATGCATTTTTCGTAGTGATCTGGGGCTCAAATTATGAAAAAAACTACAGAATGCTGGCAAGGTATGAATGAACAAAAAAATTTAGTTTTCTTCGGCATTACGATCTTGTTTATTCATGTTTTTATCGACGATTGCTCATGTGGTTTTCAGCCGTTCTTTTTTCGATTTCCTTATTTATTGCAGATTCATGGATTGCCTGCTTGACGAAATTGCCTACTTGTGTGTCATCTGAAACCTTTAGCAATATTCTATTGGTAGAAAATTGATGGATCAACTCAAATGGCGTTTTTCTGGACGAGTACTTAGCAAAGATTTTGTTTTCGGTCCCTTTGTGAAAAGCCGCACGTCAACTATCCTGCATAATATTAAATGTATGGTCGTGAAATCAACATTAATACGCATGGACTCTTATAAACATGATGTAGCTGGCAAAGAAAAGACTAAAGAGAGTTTGGTTGAGAGCGTTTAAAGAAGTCGTAATATGTCTATTGGTGAGTTTTTTTAATACAGTTCAAGTTTAATACACCTATACAATTCATGTTCTACTGTGTATAGCAATAGCATAGATTTACTGCCGTTATGTTATTGGTAAAAGTATAGATTTTTAAGCTTTCCCTTTCCCATGAGTGTGGTAATCGTAAAAAGGAAGACTTGCTTTTTTTATATGCGTATAATTCCTGGTGAGAAAGTATTTTAAGCCATATAAGGGACTGTATCTGAGTAATTCAACCCAAATGTGTTATTAGACAATTATGCTATAATTTTATTATGTTTCTTTATATACGTTAGCCCTGATAGGAAAGTACTTTTTAACCAAACAATTATGGATTGTATTTCTTAAATATCTAACTGCAAAATGTTTATATAACATTACTAAAAATTACTTACCAATATAAAATCAGAGTTGAGACAGTATACTTTGTCGTTGGTCTTCTCCTTCCCATATTGTAGCTTTGTAGTTTAAATTGTTGCCTGTTCATCGCGAGATATTTAAAGGTATATCATTTTGTTTTGAAAGCAGACCATAGGCAACACGACGCAAATTATAAGGTTTTTATAAACTAAATATACTTACTGTATACGTTACGTCCGAGATATTTCTTATAACCGAGCTACATTTTTTACGCTTTTTACAAACGCTGCGTAATAATCACATATTAAATACACCTCCAGACAATATCCTTCAAAATTACCTTTATAATTTAATAAAAAACATTTTAAAGGGCCGTAATTTCAGACTGGCATAAAAATTAGATTTTTCCCGCGCTTGCATTTTCTGCCGACTCCGAGTGCTATCCCCCCGGTATGCAAATTTGACGGTTTTCAGACAGCCAATCAGATTACGTATTCGTCATTTTCAAACGTTCTCAAAAGTCAACAGCGCGGGTCCAGCATCGTCCCATTCAAAAAATGAGTAAAATATTAAAAGCTTTTCGCATTTTTCTCGCTTCCATAATTTGTTTTCAATATTAAAATATAGCCAGATGTGGTAAATTATCGTAGATTTCATTTCTGTTGTTATTTTAGCTTAGTTTTAGGGATAAATTGAAGTATTTTTGGATTGTTTGCATGTGTCCCATGTCGATATCGGGATTGAAGTTGCCTACCTAGGAATATATATACTATATAATGCCTACATTGCCTGAACACTGTCAGGCACGCGAGTCGCCCGTTGCGTAATACACAGGATGTCAGGATTTTAGTTAGCATGAATAAATGATACATGTTTCAATTGAATCAAATACGGAAAGCTTTGTTCTAATTTTCAATATTTTAGTGCACTTTTATTTCAAATAAAACCATCGCTATTGGGCTGCCTATGGTGCCCTTATAACTTATAGGCTTATAGATTATGCAAAGCAGAAATATCCCTTTATCTACTTATTTGGTATCTAATACCTTATATGGTGCACGGCCACGCGTAAGCCTGGCGCGAGTCGGAAGCGGCACAAACAATTTCAATCAAAGCGTTTTGTGTTGCGGCGTGTTTACTGTTTACAAATTTCAATTTTCAAGTGCTTTTTAATAAGTGATTTGGGCCTGAGGGTTTATATTTTATTGATTTGTTCGGGGGATAATTGAATTGGTGTCGTGGTAGTTGAATTGGTGTCGTGGTAATTGAATTGGATCATTGGATTATCAAACAAACAGGTTGGTGTCATTATTGTTTATAGTGTTTTGTTCGATCCAAGAAAATAATAAAAATAGCGCAAGAAATATCTTATAAGGCCATACTGGTCGCGCGGGAATACCTGTAGTTTTAATAAATAATAAAGGTGATCTTGGATAAATTTCCTTATTCATAATTTCATATCCTTATTTAAATACTGTTGGCGGACAACGGCATCCATTGAAAGCTTACCGGCAACACTTCGTCTCGCAAATTGCAATCCGTCCCATATCTTAGGAATCCTTTCATTTAATGTGTTACTTCTTAGTATTTCTTGATGCTAAGTGTTTTTTATGGTTATTTCGTATAAACTTATTGTGTGTAAACAAATAACACACCTGAAATTTATTGTATGAAATACGACATTTGGCAGTGACTTGTATTATATCCTACCCTTTGTGCCATAAGCTAAACTGCTAAAACTGCTTGCCCTTATATACAGCAGTGGTAAACTGTTGTTTCATACGTGTGTATAAGAAATTGTCCTTGGATATATATTGGGACAAATAATGTCGAGTCACATATCAATGAGAGATATTTTCTGTTTAATTTATAATTCAATTTTTCCATAGTCTTCTCTGAGAGTGCATCAGGCCTGTAGTTTATGTGAAATTGGTGTAGTAATGGGTTTTCTCAAGATCCCCATCCTTGTACTATCCTTGCCCAGCAGGAATTAACCATTGAACAGTGGAAGGGTATTATAGGCATGCTTCCCTGTATATTTTAGATACTGTGTAAGTATATGTAACATAATGGGAGTATGTTCTACAATAGAAACAACCATTTTGAATATTGTAGGACCTTGAATCTATGATATGGCTTATTGGCGTAGTTACAGAAAGTTCTCTGCTGAAGCAATTGCTCTTGCAGCGTCTGACAATGAAGAAGACAATCCTGAATCTTTAAGTCATACAAATGATCTTTTGCAAAACAGTTGTAGTGATGAGTCATCAAATTATAGTGATACAGATAATCCTGAACTGATATATAGCTCTGAATCAAACTCTGATACCGATTTTTCAGAAAATGAGCATGAAGGAAATTTACCTCCTAATGATCCTTCACTCCCAAATACTAATGATCCATCACTCCCATCAGAAACATTGAGAGGGAAGCTTGCAACCTGGGCAACAAAAAACAAATGCCAACGTACTGCTGTAAATGAGCTACTTCAAATTCTTCGAGGGCAGGGACTTTGCCTTCCGAAAGACAGTCGCACCCTTTTGCAAACCCCTCGTGAAGTAATTACTTTATCTAAGTGTGGCGGGCAATATGTATACCTGGGGATTGAAGCTGGCATAACTGATATTCTTTCGAAAAATGCATCTTTAATAGAAAAGCACACCACAGTTGATTTGATGATCAATGTGGATGGGCTGCCATTGTTTAAATCTTCCACTTCCCAGTTCTGGCCTATTTTAGGTTATTTCAATAAGGTTGAAGTCTTTATTATTGCACTCTTTTATGGTAATTCTAAACCAAGTTCTGTGGATGATTATCTTGATGATTTAATCGAAGAGCTTGATAAGTTAAAAATTCATGGTGTAAATTTTGAAGGAAGGCAACTTGCCTTTAATCTGAGGTGTTTTTGTTGTGATGCTCCTGCAAGTGTTTTTTAAAAGGTATAGTTGGTCACACGGGCTACTTCTCTTGTGAGCGGTGTAAAATTAAGGGGTCATGGAATGGCAGAGTTGTGTTTAATGATGATGATGTTTTTGCACCAAGGACTGATGTTGAATTTTCGAATTTTAGTTATCATCACCACCAAAAAAGTGCTTCCTCCCTAGCTTCACATGGTGTTTCATGCATTAAGCAGTTTCCACTTGACTATATGCACCTTGTATGTTTAGGTGTTACTCGGCGCTTGCTCACTTTCCTTAAAAATGGGCCAAAAATTTGCAAGCTGTCTTCCAGACATATACTGCAAATATCCGAGAGCTTGATGTTGTTACATGGAAACATGCCAAGTGAATTTGCAAGACAACCAAGGTCGTTGGTTGAACTTGATCGCTGGAAAGCTACTGAGTTTCGCCAGTTTCTTCTTTATACTGGGCCTGTTGTGTTAAGAGGCATTTTACCAGATAGACTATACCAGCACTTTCTTTCTCTGTCTATTGCTATTTCCATAATGCTTGACATGAATACTGCCAAGCGAACCTCGTATCTGCAGTATGCAAGAGAGTTAATAACTAATTTTGTGAGTAACTGCAAATCTCTGTATGGTGATACCTTTGTGGTGTACAATGTACACAACCTTCTGCATTTGCCTGATGATGTTGACTATTTCCATTCTTCATTAAATGAAATATCATGCTTTCCCTTCGAGAACTTTATGCAACAGTTGAAGCGACTTGTTCGAAGTCCCCTATTGCCCAGGTTGTTAAAAGACTAGCAGAACTGAAGCACTCTGTGCAAAAACACCAATGTGATTGGCGCTACACTCATATCTCTACCAAATTGAAGGATAGCTGTTTTATGCTGAAGGACAACACTTATGTTTTTGTTGGACTGCGGAGATCAGGGTGAAAGATTTGTCTGTGAGGTAGTATCAGAACGATCGACTCAGAGCTTCTTCCATATCCCAGCTGATTCGAAACTATTTAACATAGTGTATATTGATAACTCGTCACGAAAAGGAAAAAGACGCCTTGTTGAAAAATGCGAAATTCTACAAAAGCTGTTTGCCTTCCATACCGGTCAGGATTTGTCATTTTCCCAATGCATCACGAGGTTGAAAGATACCGATAGTCCTAACCCTACTCCAGGTAAATTAATGCAGTAGACGTGTAATTATAACATATCACGTGATTATGTAATTGCCATATAAGTGGATTCCCCAGCTTGGCCTATACTGCAAAATTTTTATTTTTGATGAAAAAGTACATTGCGTTTGACTTAATACTGTTATATCAAAAAACCTTAAGGTTTAGGATCCCACAGAACTATAATGTAAAGTAGGTGTTCATGTTGTTGGTATAGCTTTATGATAAAAGACTCCCAATTTACGGGTCAAAACATTTCTTTTCTGTTAAAGCTTGTCATATACTGCACATGTACACAGAATAGTCTGTCTCTATAATCAAAAGTCAGTAGGTCATATACTTATTTTTTTTCTCTTTTAAGAATGTGGGTAAGAGCTGTTTGGCAGGAGGGAAAAAAGCAACACGAAGGCGTTGTTCCAGATGTGTGGATTCAGAACAACAATGTAAGATGGCCATCTGGATTGAATGTAATTAAACCTCATGCTGAAAGACAAACACCGTGTGCAGACTGGAAAACCTTTCCACTTATTAAAATAAATGTACCGCAGGTCAGTAATTTTATTATTGATATAAACTATTTTCCTAAATTTCCATTCCTAATGACGATAATGTGGATATTACTTCATGAAAAAAGAAACAAGTGGGCGGTATTATAATAACCAAACAAATAACGTTGCAGCAACAGAGTCATGCATATATGCATTTCAAGGCACGTATTTCCAGTTGTTCTCTATTTAATTTGTATTTTTGTAAACCAGATGAAAAACAAGTTTGTGAAAGGTACGATTTTACGACCACTGCCGAAGTAAGTGATGGTGATGAGGATCATGAAGTATATAGGAAAGAGAATTTAATTCTAAGGAAAAGAGTCGAAAAGGTTAGCAATTACAACATACATCTTTGTATAAGTATTTTTGTATTTGGCGTACTTATTCTTTCTTGTATTTTGCAGGAAAACAAATCGTGTATTCGTCAGACAATAATTCTGATAGTGACGGTGGAAATGCTAACTGTATGTATCAGAGTCAAAATCTAATCCATCGAGTATACTTTGTCCTTAATTATTATATTCTATTTTTTTCGCTCTACAGTATGCGTAATAATGTAGTGTTGCACTTGTATGAAACTTTTACTAGTTTTAGTAACAATAATTTGCCGAAGGCGAGGTGATTATCGCTTTCAATAATCACCTTTGTACTTATACTAATGAGGCTTATTTACTTGTCAGCTATTTCAGATTTCCCACCTCCACCAAAGAAATTTATTTCAGCAACGAACGATTCGAGCATCCATTTCACGTCGATGATTCCAAGAACACCACTGTCAAGATCGAGAAGCCCTCTTCGAGAAAAACCGAATAGCAGTAACAGACCACGGAACAAACAACACAATGAGCTTGTCACAATGAACAAACGTAAGCTAATCATGGCATTTAACTTTTTGTAAAAAATAGATACTCTAGAGATCTTCATTTAATATACTACTGATTTTAGAACCAAATTTTCTTTTAAAATCTTATTTCTACTACTTTGTTTCTACTAATTTTAGACTTCTCTTCATCATCATCCAAAACACATTCTGCATCGAACTGCAAAAGAAAGTCAAGACCCAGAATGCGTTCGAGATCGAAAACAAGATCAAGGACGAGGTCCAAACCTTCTCAGTCAGAGGAACAAAGTTTATCTGGAAAGAAAAAGACCCCAGAATACCTTAGATCCAACGATGGACCATTACTTTCGGAGCTGCAGGTAAAGCAGTAATGATGTCATGATTGTATGCCGAGGCATTAAAACTTACTTCGTTTGCTCTTGGTATTTATTTACGTGACAATCAATATTTTCGTCTTAAAGTTTAGAGCACTATTCTTAAGCCTTATTCCCCGGACAAAACGCCTCTTACGCAGCCTGCTAAAAAGCTTGTTTCCTGTGCTTTTCAGATATTCTGGCATCAATATTCCCTGATGCAACAAGAAGATCACGATCAAAAACCAAGTCTAGATCACGATCAAAAACAAGATCTAGATCGACTTCCCGATCAGAAAGAAATGACAGAACGAGATCACGATCGACGACAAGGTCAAGATCCAGAACGAGATCCAGATCAAGGTCCAGACCTTCTCTGTCAGCACCAGGGGTAAGAAGGGAAAGTTTGGCTGAAAATACTATCCCAGAAAAACAGCATGAGCGAAGTTTTGGTATTGAAAACACCGTTGCTAGGAGTAACAGTGGATTCCCCATATCAGAAGCAAGTAAGTACACATGCTGTAAAATATGATCACCCTAGTCCTCTTGCCAAGTTGCCAAACGTGTATAGCTATTCCATGGACTATAATCCCCATTTTTGGGCATTGAAGAGATTTAAATTAGAAACTGCTAGAACATGTCTTCACCTGTGAAAATCGTTTGAGTTTTGTTGCATTGTTGTTGAGTTTTGTTGCATTGTTTTTTCAACACATAGAATTTCAAAGGAGAGTTTTGCAGCTATTAACCGAAATTCGTAACTCGGTTGCCCAAGTGGGAAAAAGATGTTCTCCTGCCAATTCTGCAGTTCATATCGATCAGGCAACGAGCTTGGAGGAACTGATCGCATTAGAAAGCAGCCTTGCTGATAAAGACACCAGAGATGTATTGGTAAGAATAATCTAAAACCTGTGTATGAATTGTTGACTGGTCAATGTAGTTAACTAAATATAAAACTGACAACAATGATGGAAGAGCTTATCAATAATTACGGAAAAATATCTTTGTCTTTGACAATCCTCCATTCTTGTGGTCGTTTATATAGTCCTAATATACTTCTCTTATTGAAGATTTGTATTAAATTAACTATGCCAGAACTCGACTTCTTACTGTAAAAATGAGTCCAAAAATTAATACTATTTCTCTAATTAGTCATGCGTTTTAATAAATCGTTATCAATTCGACATGTTTAGCCATGACATGCCTGACCAATTGACCATTGTTTTTCAGTTATCACGAATCATTGATATCGGAGGACTGAACGTCAGAGAGAATGTCCGCAATGTAATGCACAGGTATTAACCATAGATGTATGACTACCCAGAGTGTGCTACACTGCTAACTAGTATAATGTAGATTGAAAGTCTCTGTTCTCAACATTTTCAATATTTTTTAGATTGATGAATAATGAAGTTATGGCATCAATGAACATGAAGGGAAAGGGTTCGAAATATGCGTTTGGGTCTACCAAAGTATTTCAAGCTGTTGTAGGTATGTGAAACTGTTCTCTTTGTGGTGTATGTTTCTGCAATATATATATACCGCATTCGTAAGAATTTTTCAAGTAAACGTTTGCTGTTTTGTTGTATCTACTTCATTTCATATTAATAATTAGTGATTACTGATTTGCTTGCTTATCAAAAGAAATTAACATGACATGAATTATTTTTATTATTTCTCTAAAGAAGTGTTTTGGATGATTTTGTGTTTGTTTTTACTTGTTTTGCCCGCACGATCGCTACTTAAACATATCGCATAACTTCATGTTGCTTGCCAAATAATGAAACTTTATCGTTAATATTGTGCTACGTATTATTCTTAGAATGTGTGGTTAAAAATCAAAAAACGTCAGAAGCGGAGGTGAAGCAAGCTGTACAGCAACTGCTGAAATACGCGCCAGATAGGCAAGGAGGAGGTGGACGAAAAGACACCGCTTAAATTTTGAAAACAAAACACTTAAATAAAATTTACTTGGCGATAACAATTATTATATAGTTTTTTAAGTATTTATATGTCTGTTTTTTATTGTATATTGGATTATTTTGTAATACGCATTATTCTATTATATTAAAATGAAATAAAGTAGCAATTTTATCACCGAAATATGATGCTTTTTCTGCTGTCTTATGTTTCAAGGCTGGTTTCCACTCAGCCTGCAGAGCTATATGGACGCGTCGTAAATATTGACGGTGATTTTAACTTTGATAATTGTGGTCGTTTCAACGTTGAAATGACGTCTTTTTCCGACGTCGTTTTGCGACGTCGTTTCGACGTCGTAAAACGACGTTGATCCAATTTGCGTTTTCAACCTTATTTCGACGTCAGATCGACGTCGAAGATCGACGTTGAATCAACGTTGAATCGACGTAACTTTGCCCGCTGGGTTGGTGGTTAATTAATGACCTCGACTCGTCTTGCTGATGTGACCCGCGTTGTCACCAATATTTCAAATATCATTACATAATATTATTACATTGAAAATATGAATAGGTTAAAATGCTACGTTCAAAATATCTTACATGAGTATACTACTTTGTATTTTAAATATCAGTGTGAAAATTTTATTCGAAGACAACGTAATGCTTCTTTCCGCAATAACTTATTGCGCCAATAGAACAAGATGGAATTAAGAACTGATAGTGAGAAAATGAGTGTCGTACTCCAAGAACTTAAAATGATTGCTTTAAACGTTGCTTTTGGCGTCAAGCTAACCTCAATGGCAGAAGGCAGATAGCAACTGAATGTACAAAACAAAACAAAAAAGCATGTTTTAGCATCGCGTATTCCTTGCAGAAAAAGCCTTTCGACGTTTAATGTTTGCACGACCAGTGATAACGTCAATCCTACGTCGTTATATTACTGCCAAAAAAATTCTTGTATGCATAAAAACCATTGCTAGCATAGTTAGTGTTATAAATACGGTTTGTATTACTTTCACTGTTCCTTGATCGATGAAATATATAAAAAGTAGGCTCGTAACGAATGGACAAACCAAAGGATTAAACGATTTTGAAAATACGTCTATTCGTTACTTTTTCCCTATGAAAAACTGGATGTATGACTGACAAATATATTTCAAAATTTAGAGCCAAAAATGTGACAACTGATGCAGACACAAGTTTCAATTGCTAGGTTGCTCATCATGACATTAAAACATCTTTCATTTCCACGTATTTCCCTGCTCAGATGTAGCAAAAACAGCGGTTCTGCAATGAGTCCAGCTGCTAAGTCGTTTGAAGATAAAACCATTACAACGAAAAACGAGTTTTCCGTTTTAACTGCGGCGATTTCCAAACGCATGGATAGCTAGATAGTTGAGAACTATTATCAAGAGCGTTTGTATGAAATTGTAAGTTAAACAGACGACATGGTTGATATAGCATGGCCGGCAATGAAAGCCAGTGACAAGTAACAACTTTAAATTCTCCCAAACGCTATTTATTTTTTCAAATTCTGCAGTTGGTGTTGTAGACGTTTCGTTTCGCGTCATGTTTCTTCATTTCAAGAGCTCTATAATTGCTTAAACTGACTTTTGATAGCCTGGAATAATTTTTGTTTTATTTGGCCTATCATCTAAGACTAAGTGCCAGATGGTTAAATAGAAAAATGAGATAAAGACGTAATGACTCTTGGCAAATATGACAATATTGATATGGAAATGCCATCTATACATGTCTCTCCGGCTGTCTTTGAAACATCACTACTTCTATAATATGGATTTCACGTATTCCCATAACATCAAGCTTTTACGTTTTAAAGATTGGCTGTATATTGATGGGTCTAATATAATTAATCAAAAGATATTACTAGTTTTTCCTCAAGTCCCAAATTTGCATTTCAAAAAAAATGTGTACTTTTGAGATTACAAACTCGTCCACGTGACTTGAGGTAGCCGCCATCATGTCGCGCCATGTGTTCACATTCTTATCAGTAAAATTTGTGAAAATGTGATATTCTGTTTTCATCGTAATGCCGGCCTGCCGTCATGACAGACCAGGCTTTCAGGAGAAGGAAAAGATAAACAGATATGCAAAATACGATATTTTTTTAACTCCAAACGACGATGCAAAGGCTATTTTTATCTATCATCAGTTCTATCCTATCAGTTCGAACTAAGTGCCCAGGAAACAAACGTTTTGCGCTACGTTTCACTACCATGTGATTGAGGTCGTCGCCAAATGTCGTCATGCACATGCACAATGCAACAACGAACACTAGCCTCATTAAACTAACGATCTGTTCGTCAAATAATTATAGACTAAACGTTGAAATTGATTTTTTTCATATCATGTTTGACCTCATTCAGTAATTAATAAGTCGCACCGTGTCACGTTCAACAAACGAGTTAACTTTTGATTAGTTTAATTCCCTCATCACGATATTTTCATGAGCATTTTTGGGCGGGGCTTCGAAATAAAAATTATGTATAGCTCTTTATATCCACGAACTTTTACTACCTCCAGCATTCTGTTTATATGAAGTGTAAATGCATGGTATACTTAATTCGGTATAGTGTTGATACTGTTAAAGGTGGATAAAATTCATCATCGAATATTAAAAATGTCAATTACTGACACTTATCATGACCAACTTTGGCAAGACGAACTCTGGGGGATTCTAGTAATAGCTATAGTTGTCTTAAGAAGGGCCTGGAGGTGAACTGCATCAGTCACATCACGTTGCTCACATCACTAATAATTTTTTAATTATAAGAACGGCGGCTCTTATTTTTGGAGGCTTACTATTTTCTAGTGTTCGACAGACAAGACGAAGGACAGCATTACCTTTTGCGGCGAATTCCGAAGCTGAGTATAACGACTGGAATAAACATATAAAAAATGCAAGGTTAGTGTTAAGGCTATATGCGATTTTGTCTTTTGATGGATGTAAACGAGTGATTAAGTTACTGATGTTCAAATAAGAGCTTTTATACACCAGAACATTCGTAACTAATTACTCGTTCACATCTATCAAAAGAAGAAAATCACACAAAATCGCAGCAAAAATCGCAAGTGTAAACGAGCCTTTAAGTTTTCATTGAACCGTAGCTTACATGACTATGCAGTATATATAATGATGATTGATTCTTGCAGCTACGAAAGCTTAAAGAAAAATTACAAAAACTATGTGAACAGATTACCGAGATGACTGGTGAGGTAAACAATATTATAAACAATATCGTGTTGGGCATGGGCATGAACTGTGCGATGGGAAGTCAAGTCTATCCACAGCTAGTTATTATGCATATATCCGTTGGATTGCAAACTGCCCTTGTTAATTTTAGCACCCGTTACCGCATAACCATCCATTTCGTGATGATAACGACAGCGAGGTAAGCATTTGTTTACGTAAGTATATACCTGTGCCCATCTTTAATACTCTGAGGTACCAGGTTAACCACCGGCCTCTTAATGCTTCAACAAGTGAACAACCTGGTCGGCATTATCGATTGATACGCCCGCGCCAGCTCTAGTTGGCGGAAGACTTTGCGTCGATGAGAAAACACATATAGTGCACATATAGTGGCAGCCTCACGGAGTGGTTGCTTCAGGAAGTTGCTCTCACGTGTTTGCGGCGGAATTTATCACATTTTTTTCGTGCAATTTTAGCCTCCAAAACCACCAAAACCGCTTCACAAACCTCCGTTGCTGGAAATAAGCATGGGTAATGTTCATGTAAATTATAACTTTCGAGCATGTATAGAATTTTGAAAAACTCATTCTGAACAATATGTTAAGTAAAGCTAAATATTGTCAATTTATTACACAGCTTGCAATGATCTAAAACCAACTGTGGAGAATAAATATCCAAATGCAGTTATAGTTGTTAGTACTATGACCCCTCCTGGAGCAACTTGGTCCAGACTTGCACAGACTGAAATAATAGAGGTATTACAGCATGATCAGGACCTGTTGAGGCGATTTTTAATCCAATACTGTTTTTGTCCAATTTTCCGCATGTGCATGTTGGATTTTCTTGTGTTTTAGCAAAAACGTCACCCATATTTCTTGACGACTATAAGCATACCTTCTGGTGGAAATTACAGTGAGGTAACAAGACTAAAACTTGCTGTCTTTGATGTTCGCGACCGAGATAAAGAAGAGGCAAGTAGTTCACTAAATATAGTGTATGTAATTTTTAACTTCAAAACAAATCGTCTTATTGCACAAAACGTCAGGGTTCTTCAAGTGAGATGAATTTTTTAGATGACTCATTTGGGTCAGGCAGTTTGTACAATCAAGGATATATTGGATTCTACGAATCAGAAAATTCAACTTTCTCTTACGTGAGTTCATCATTATGCTTTCCGAGAAGCAGAGAATAAATATTGGATGATATATAATTCAACCAAATACTAGTGTACCCTTTATAACATGCATGTTTCTTTTTTCGGACCCTTTACATGTTTCCGCGGTCAATAGTTTCAAAATGTCATGACAATTTCGAAATGTTGTCTGTTTTAGTGGCTTGGACTCTCCAATGGCCTCAGGGACAATAACATTGTTAGGCTGGAAGGTAAAATAATTTTTATCAAAATAGATCTAAAGATCAAAGATCAAAAGATCAAAAGATCTTTCTTTCTTTTAACTGAGAAATCTTTCTAACTAACAACAACAAAATGTCATACTATAATGCATGTTTTTAGGTCGAAACTGTTCAAGATACTTTGGTAGGTATATAAGGTTATTGTAATAAATAGATTGTATTATGCATCCTTGAAAGATTGGTCAAGTATTAATGATTGTATTTTTTTAATCTTTGAAATAAGATTTTTCACCTATTTTCAGGCGGACACTGATGGAACGTTCAGACCAAGATGTGGCTCAATAAACAAGTGCGTAAACGATAATCGTTTGAAGCAGTTGTGTTATAGGGTGCCTTAGGAAGATAGATCAAGGAGAGTGACGCCCGATTATTATTGGTGTTTTTTTCATCTTCTTATAGACCGAAATTCGACAATATGTTACAAAGATCATTTAGATTTCCTACAATGTAAGTATTGCATGTGGTTTTACTGCAACGAAAGATCGCGTCATCATAATGGGTTGAAAAGTCAATTCGATACTTTTTAGCTTGGGTACAGAGGTGAAGTTTGTGGATATGATGGGCGAAAGCTTTCTGACGTTCAGAATTCCTCAACAATTACTGTAAGTCATGAGTAAAATATGATATTTCATTTAGTAAAATGATTAGTTTTCGTCTCGAACTAAAATGTCGTTACCTATAGTTTACCGACTATATAATACGTTAAAATGTTTACCTTTTTGCAAATGCTTAATACCGCGATATAATTTCAAATTTATATCTGGAGCAAATTGGAATAGACTAGAAATAGTTATCGGGATTACGAGATGCATGCGTGGGTTGAAAATGAGATCATCTTGCATGGGAGAAAGTCACATTCAGTAAATGACCAAGCAGTGGTAATGTAGTACCTAACTTAAGTAATAAATTTTCATATATTCTTTAGGCCTAAATGATTTTCAACCTGAATCGGAGGATGCCGATGACCCCGAATGCCAGGTATTTTTGATTCACTAACATGCAGACTGACCGCAAATAACTGAATAACTTGGCTTGGCACAAATAAACCGACTGATTGGATATAGGAAGAGAATAAATCGGACGTTTTCATGTAAATTACTCTTCGATAGGTTCTGCGTAATTCTATTGAAAGTTCAGTGGCGCAGATTCTAAAAATGATTAATGAATTGAATAAAGAAAGTCCGCTAATTTTGAATGGTAGGTTTTCCGTATAGCCTCACGAAATTAATCCTTTACTTTCAAAGTGTCATAATAGAGTTGTCCAATTGGGATCAAGCGTTTTTGAGTGAGTTGTTTTGTAAGCTAGTAGCTATAAACTACGTTTTATCTTAGACTTAGCAAAGAAAAGTTGGCGAACGATAGGAGAGAAGACTTTGGATTCCGTGGTAGATGATGTTTACTATTTTGTTGACGCTCTTATTAAGAAATTAAATTTGGGAATGATTTTCGTTCTACTTCAGGTCAGTAAAGTTATCGACACAAGTTACTGTAAGCCCCATGCAGAGGGAGATAAGATATAATGCGTATTAACATTATAATAGAAAAATCTTTCGTCTCTAATTTCCATATTTTTGTGGCATATATTTGTATTGTGTTTGCATGTGTAATAGTATATTATAGTCGTGTTATATGAAGTGATGTAATTACCTGGCAAAGGTTATAGCGACATCTTCTCTTAAATAAACTTTTGGAAATATTTATTATTTTATTCAGGAAGAATCGCGTCATGCCCAGACTATGCAAGACCTCCGTCAACGTCGCGATATTTGTCTTTCACAGGCAGTAAGTTATTCAATGTATAAACTCTGTCATGCGAAGAATCTTCGACTGGCCCCCTTTAATGTAATAAGAATAGTCATGTCAGGGATTTCTAAATTGAAAAGCAATGTATAGATCTGATTTTATTTTGTATCAGCTAGTGGGCAATATATAGGTTACGTTATTACTCCGCCTGCGTATGCGCAGCGGAGTCTTAAAATGCCATGGTCTTTTTTCCTTTTCGTCGTTTTGGGCGACAGAAGTTGGCATTTCTACAGGTAACCCAAAACAACTTCATTTTTGACCGAGAAGCCCCTGGGTTACACGGTCCACGGATGACTTATGTTCATCAGTTGGCATGCAGGCGGAGTGAACGCTTTGAGCAGGCGTCTTGTTGAGTTATTTTTATATATAGTAGATCAAGGGTGATATAAATTAAACCGTTTTATGGTAACGTTTTAAGGTAACGGCACTCATTTGTGGATTTGAAGCTAAAATTTACACATCACTATTTGACGCAAGTTTCATGAAACAACTTTGTGAGATTGGTGTTCTTGCTGAATTTGAATGTCTTCTGAGTACTTACGGTTAGTTATTAGAATTAAGAAAGGAAAGTATATCTATGTTTTTTATTTCTTTTCTTGCGAATGTACATGCACGAGTGTAACCGAAATTAATCGTAACTTCATGCATGTGTAGTCGTAATTTCTGTGGGAAGAAAATTCTTCCATTGGCATCGAATTTCAATAATATCAGCGTTGACCGCGCAAAATCTAATTGTTTCTGAAGTACACTTACATTTTACCAGCACGTATATTTGTTTAATACGAAGTTTCTGCACTTACGGTGCATGGAACTCTTTCTGTCTATTTTTTTACCTCTGCGTGGAGATATAAGAAGGGTGTTCCTTGCGATTTACACTGCATGTTTTAGCAATTCAAGTTATTGACACATGCAAATTCGCACTGGACAAACTCAGCGAAGGCTGATTAAAGCTAAATTTCAAACTGGGTGCAAAATATCCGTGACTATATAACGCATTTTTGTTCTAGTATTTGCTATTTAGCGATCCTGGTTTCAGTATTTTGCATACACTTCAACATTGCGACCATGCAAGCGTCTGCATGTTGTGGTCTGTTTTACGCCTAAATCGTTTTTAATATTTCTATTTTTAGGTGATGAAATGGGAATGTTAGAAGACATGTCCATTGCAATACGCGATCTTTCATGTGTCAAATTTAAGGTTCTTTACCATAAATGTGACTGATCATTTACAAGCGCACTTTATTAGGATGCAGTAAAGGGACAAGGGATAACGTGAGGTTAAAGAATGAAGATTCCTCATGGGCTTATTTTGGCGATAACAAGAAGCTAGTCCAGAAACAGCGTCATTATGCAATGTGTTGACCAAGTCTTTAACTCTTATATCTTTCTTTATATTTCCTTAAGCGAACTTTTCATCATCTTTTTTTTCAGTTCGCTTGCTCTGATAACGAAACGATTCCCTACGTCACTGGAACAAGGTATAATACAATTGCAAGCGCACGATATCATACGGCTTTAAGGCTATGTTTGGTAGTATCCAAATTTACATCTCTCAAAAGAAGAATTGCATTGCAAGTTGCAGGAAAAATTGCACTGTGTAACAGGGCCTTTAGTATCATGCTAATTATTAAACTCCCTGACGATTTCTTTTTGCCTGTTAATAAAACAGGTGCATGGATACCGTTGCATATATAGTACATATATTTGTGTATCTTTTTTCAAGGGCTAATATTCATGTTACCATACTCCTCGAAACAGAATATTTCTGTTATTTACCCAAAGAATTGCAAGAAGGAAAATTAATACAAGTTTCTCCAGTTATTTTCACTCAAGGGATCAACGAACATGCGACTTTAGCTGAAAGGTGACTGTAATGATTTATACCGTACATCCCCATTCATGTATGATAAAAACCATTGAAAGATCTTGTATAATTACACAGTATCACTCAGTAACCTCGTTTAAAGCGGGGTGCATGTTTTTTAAATTGAAACACCTTATTATCTTGTATACGTAGTATCTTCAAAGATCGCAGCTTGATAATAGTTAATTAGTTTACCTGGGTGTAAAACTCTTAAGATCTTACAGCAAGTATAGCTAAAAGCAAAGAACACAAAGATGAAGAGATCTATTTTCTGCCACCCAGTCTCAACCAGTTTCGGTGCTACAGGTTTCGGTAAAGTACTTTCTGAATTGTTTACTATAAGTGCAATTTAGAAAGAGAAATTATGATGATTTTCTAAAAAGGGCTGAGTTGGATAAGTTCAAATAAGACATTTATTCACAGAATAATTCCGCAGGAGTTTAACTGACCTTTTTCCACTAAAGACTTGAGATATTCTTGACCACAATATGTCGTGTCGCAGAAAGCTGGATATTTATGAAACAGCTGTTAAACCAGAAAGCGATCATAACATTTGTAAAGAGGTTAAAAATCTAAATTATCTCCACGGTATAATCTCGTAATACAAAAGGAAGCGAACTATATTGGACCTAATTATTAATAAAACCAAGGCAAGAGAAATCTATATGATGGCAGTGATATTTTAAATTTACTATGAAAAATAATTGACGGTCTTTCAGTTGCCAAAGAGATATACCTGATTGGGGGCTCGTAAGTATAGCCAGCAATCGATGGGGTGAAGGAACTATACTATATATAGTTCCTATATATGTTGTCTAATGTCTGAGTCTTGGGCAGTTGTTATATACCACATTATGTGAAGTTAATTGTTAGGTGATGCTACCACGCTGCTCCTTCGGGAGCGAATTCAGCAGATACTTTACAAATTGATACTGACAAAGCAGAAAATATCCAATCCAGGAAAAAAATTACAAGAAAAATTTTAGGAAGACCCCAGAGAGAATTATGGACATTACCTCCATAGACAAACATATTATATAGCTATTCGCTAATAGCGCATGCAATCATGTAAGAATTGCTGTCGGACGAGGTTTCCATACCAGAAATGCAAGTTCTGCCGTCCGAAAGACGCCAAACGCAAGCGCAAACGCCAAGTCCATGAAGGTAATCAAAAAACATTTAATAATTCGACTTTGATGATTCGACAGAATAGTCGATTACCCTGACATGCTCAAGTTAACTAATCTTCAAGATAGTAACATCAAATATCATCACGATCACGTATCTTGCTTGCAATATCGAGCACGCGTAAATTAAAACGAGTAAATATTCATTTTTTGTAAACTTACGTTCTGATTGGTCGATTGTACTACGTGAGTGAATGTTTATTATGCAACAACGCCACGGCAGTGCCGTTATAGGATTTATTGCACTAGCAAAATGGTGGCAACAAACAAAAAATTTGCCGAACTTAGTGAAGTGGAAATTAATGTAATTATAGATGAATCCACACTAAAAAGTACTAAACGGGCATGCAACCGCTTGAGGTGTTTCAGTATTTAAAGGTAAGCATGTGTTCTTAAGTTTAAAAATGATATAAAGTTTTTACGAGTTTACTCAAAATGAATATTAAAAGTATTAAAGCACTCTTTGTTTGTGCATTATCCGGTTTTACATGCACTCGTTCACAAACAAGGAACGAGAAAGAAGTTCAATACTGCACTCGGCTTCGCCGAGTATTGAACTTCTCGTTCCTTGTTTGTGAACGAGTGCATGTTAAAACCCTATAATGCACAAACAAAGAGTGCATTAATCCTTAATGTACTCACAGAGTGCATTAATCATTAATCGTCATGTTTAATCTAATCATCATGGTATTTATGAATGGGATTTTTAGGTGCAAAATAAATACATGTATACGTGTAGCTAATCAACGAATTTGTTTTACAAATATTGATCGGTGCATGTATGAGTAAAATTTCATTACTGACACAAAGCACAGAGGTTTTCGATTCAACTTATATAAAGCGTGCCCGAACCGGCTCAGAGCGGTCACTTTAATAAAGAAAGTTTAGTTATGGGAAGGACAAGTTCTTTATGGAATTATGACTATTAATTATATTATAGCTTTATATATTTAATAAAGAGCATTTCAGGGAACTCGTCGGCTAGCTCTTGTAAAAAAGTGTGGGACCTATATTGTCATTGAAATATCGGTAACTCAGTTGCGAAGACATGTACAGGAATTAAACATAACAGGGAGTGACGGAAGCGATATCGTATATACACTCATTGCAATATTAAGCTCTGTTTACACTACACTCGATTTATTGGTACGGCACAGCTAAAATGGGTACCCGTGCCCATTTCATTTGTGCTCGGCCTTTGTTTTGGTAGCCTGAACACTAATAAAATTGGGTACGGGTACCAATTTTATCCCTGCCGTGCCAATAAATTGAGTGTAATGTAAACGGGGCTATAATTAAAGCTAGCCAACTGCGACTTGTAAATCCATGTATAGGCATTGCATACCTAAAAACGTAAGAGAGCTTTTCGGGCGTCTGAAAACAATGGTTTTTGACTTTGTTTGATTAACGTTAAATTTCTTATTTAATCTAACGTGTATGATTTGTCTAAAACACTTTACAAATGGTATTAATTGTATACAACCCTGCCATATTATTCCAAATATCACCCCATGACATGTTATATAATAGCACTTGTTAGTAGTATTGAGCGCAGCCTTTGTACTGACCGTGATTATAGTTTATAAACAAAGCCTCACTTACTTTATCCTTGGCCTTGCAGTCTTTTAAACATCTTGTCCTTCTTTTAATATTTACCTCAAGGGCCCCACATAATGTAATTACTGTTATCAATAGGCGAAATGCTTGCTCGCAGAAGTGCATACCGTGAGATGTATCAATTCCTCGCGGACGAGACAGACGCTATGCTATGCGAGCAGGCGGCGAATGAATTCTAATCAGATAAACGAGTGTTGAAATTGTTGTACACTCTAGATCACGTAACAAGTACCCAAAGTATCGAGAAAATTCCCGTTATTTATTACTAGTCTGTTAAACTGAGGCAGAGAACTGGGGCAAAGTTCATTCACAAGGGCACATTCATTTTTCCGTACTTGCGAACTTGCAAATCCACAGGAGAACGCATATTTAGATTAATATTAATATTACCGGTTCGTTTTAATGCGAAGGGTAAGCGCCATTATTTTATTATATGTATCATGTATGATACTATTACATGGTAGGGAAGCTGCACAGGGTTACCCCTGTTGCCCCGTAGTAAAAGGCAGCGGGGGCACCTGCCCCCGTGGATCCGGCGCCCCTTCAACTAAATATGGAGATTGCATATACGTATATAATCAAAGATTATAAGGATGAGTTTGTTATGGACTAAAACATTGCCACGACGTGTTAACTTTGTTTCTATATTTATACCCAACAATGCATAAGCTTGCCCTGTACAGCCTTGAAACGTAAGCAAAATTCCACCTAGTGGAAAAAAGGCTTAAAAGTGATAAATTAAAAGGACATAAATTCCCGACTTGTACCGTTTTCATTACATCGAGTTTTCCCTTCAAACGATCTTGCAGATTTCGCAGCATTTCTATTCTTACAAACAAAAAATTACGGAGGTTTTTTTAACCCGTTTTGGCTTTGTGTCCACGCGTAACCGGCGTTTCCGGCAACCGAAAATGGAAGTTTCCAAAAACGCTCTCCAGAGTGGAGTTTTTCGAAAACGGCGTTTTCGTGTTTACGTGTAAACGGACGAAAAGGAGGGTTTTGAACTCGATGACATTGATAGTCGGATGCCATAAACGGTGCTTGTTTTGTGTCTCTTTCATAATGGTGAACTAAAATTGCTTGGCTGTTCTACTTTTGCCTATTTCATAATTTCAAGTATTATAGCTTCATATTACTATGCTAAACCTGCACGGAGAGTGTTTAAAAAAGTGAATGAATATGATGAGGATGCTTCCCATCTCACTAGCTAGACCACGAAGATTTCGTCATTTAGTCATTGTAATTCAAGAAAGAGCGAGCCCATGCATAATTAAAGCGAACCCAAAGCAAATACGCGGAATTGTTTTCAAATTCCGCCAAATTCACATACTTGTTATCTGCGATTGTTTGGAAGCGCTCATATTACTTGGAAATGCGCATACTCTATGCATGGCGCCATCAAATTTCCTAAGTTTTAGCGTTTACATGTGGACAGGCAAAAACGATTCGAACACGCTTCGTGTGGACGCGAATTTTTTTAAACACGGAGAAAAAATCCTTCGTTTTCAAATATATCCGGATACGTGCATGTGGACAGGGTCTGACATAGATATTTTGATCAAATCATCACACAACATGGGTAAAAATACCGCTTTTAATACTGTACATTTACTATAAAAATATACTTCAACCTGAACTTCTCCCTCACCTTTTCGTCTTTACAACGTTTCACACATGGTGAGATATTCACTTTAAGAGCCTGGCATAACACAATCATAGCCAGAAACAAACAAAAAACTTGCTGAGAAAAGTACATCGCGGAATCGAATTTCTTCGAGCATATATAGGGAATAATTCCAAAAGTATGAGGACAGATGAGTCTATATGTTTTGATTATATCATGTGACCAGACCTAGACCTAGTCAATGGTCACATTCAAAGAAGATGCTGTCAATCATGAGTACCTAGATAGGAAGTTGTATATATATATATAACGTTTACACAAGCCATTTACACATAAAAAACTACAAATTTGTTTCAAAAGCACTCTAGTGAGTGCTCTCTCGTCAGGTCTAAAATGTGCCAGCTAACTTCGGTCTTATTTATACTCGTTCGCTACACGTTCTTTAATAAAAGCTTTCCTCCGTGACGGCATTTGTTAGCAAGTTCACTTCCACTGTTTAATACACGTATGGGGTTTGCAAATGATAAAAAATTTCTCAGTGATGCATAAATTACATCGCTTGCTTACATTTGTGTACGGTTGTGCGATAATTTTCCATGACAACTTATAGTTGACGCCTTTGTCCTTTTGTTCCCAAATATGTTTGCTCAGCTGCATCGCATTCATTTTGTTTTTGTCCCTAAACGATGCTAAGTGGTTGGTGTATCTGGTTTTAAACTTGTTCTGCGTCAATCCAATTAATGCATGTTTCTTTTCTTGTGTCCGTCTCCACTGTTGCTTGGTAAATTACATTTGTTGTTAAGCATTCTCCGTCCACGGGACACGATGACCTATCCCTGCAATTACATGATTGGTTTTCTTCCTTTTTCCCATCGGTCTTCCGTAATAACGCCTTGTTATGGTTACTGATCTTATCTAGTCTGGATTATAATCCAGGTCTGGATTATAATCCAAAAACGTCGAGGTTTTGCCGGACGTCTGCGGTTGAGGCGTTTTAAGACCTATTTTGAAGTCAGCAATGAGAGAAGCCGAATTATGTTTCTGCGCTTCTTCAGATAATCTGCTTGATATGAAGCTGAAAATAAGCCACAAGGCTTGAAATAAGCCCCATTAGTATCGAAACTACAGCTTGTTTGTTATTTAATACGATCGGCCGAGAGCGCGTGTTGAACTGGGCTTGAAACGTTATATACATCATCGTTTTCAAATCGTTTTCAAATTTATCTGGATAAGCCGTCCCACATATCGGCTTGAGCCGGCGTTTTCAAATTTATCCACTCTGGAGAGCGTTTTCTAACTTATGTGCGTGTGGACGTAACCCGTAACCGTATAAATATTTACCCGTTTTCAAATTTATCCGTATATGTGTGGACGCGGGGCCTAAATGAAGCAAAAGAACTTATTAACTCTTTTAGCGTACGTTCAAGCGGAGTCGCTCCAATCTTGTCACATGTCGGATATACGATGCAGGGACTTTAGACCAGAATATACACGAAATATACATGTAAACAGAAAAGTTGAGCAATATGCGGAGCTTATTAGAAACAAGGAGGAATTCCGCCGCGTCTGTCAGAGAAAAACAAAGAAAAATTCCGCTTAAGCTTCGCGCGCAAAATTCCGCGCCTAGTGGAAAAAAAGGCTTAAAAGTGACCAATTATAAGAGGATATAAATTCCAGACTTGTGCTGTTTTCATTACATCGCAGATTTCGCAGCATTTCTGTACCTACGAACAAAAAATTGTTTCACTTGTCAGTCTTTATTCAATCTAATCTGACATCACAACCTTGAACCTTATGTTACGAAGTCAATATAATCAGAACGCAAAGTTCATCTAATCAAGGCCTAGTAGCTAATTCAATCACCGCCTACATTATACACTTGATGATTAACAGGAAGATAAATTTATTGAGACTGGGTACTGACATTCATAGATGTTTTTGATCAAATCATCATACGCATGGTGGAAATACTACTTTTAATACCGTAGCTATACATTTCCCATAAAAATATTTCAACCTGAACTCCTTCACCTCTTCTTTACAACCTTAGCCGAATTCATATTAAAAACGGGAAACTTATCTTAGACGGGAGACGAGTTTCTCATCCAGACGGGATTTCCGTCCAACTTAAGGCTAACTTTCCACTCAGGAAAAATCTCCTTTGGATCGGAACGGACAGGGAAATTTCTTTTTTCGGTGAGTTCTCAGACGGTGTTTATTCTGTTACACCACAACCGCAATTCATGTGCAGTGTTTTACAAAAACGTCAGTTACGTTGAACGTGAATGTAAAATAGACAGAATATATGCATTTTGTCATGAAAGGTAGTAAAAGTGAGATTGTGTTTCGATTTCATTCGAAATATTTTCGACGATGATGACTTGAGCTAATTTAATGCATGATATGCCTTTTAAGGATTTAAAAATCGACGGTCGGGATTTTCGGGAAACTCCATATCAGCTCATATACGCTAAGTAGCAGAAAAAACATGGCCGACAGTTTTGCTTAGGAGTGATCAATAGGAAATTAAAACACTTTTTGAATGTTCAATTCCCACAGTTTCAAAATAAATCGACAAAAGATGAGATAAAATAGTTTAGGGAAAGCGTTACACAAGGATGTAGTAATCCGGTACGCTCCGCGAGTGAACATCGCTCCGCTCTGGAGGTGACATGAAAAATGTCCGGTATATTCAGTCTGTTCCCTGTAATCGCTACAATCCCAGGTACAATATATGTTTGGCGGGAAAATGCATGAATAGTTGGTAATTCCAAAAGAAGTTCTATTTCACTGTCTGTATACACTGGAATATTTCTTTTGGACTTTTTGCTCGCCCTTCGTTGTCCACCATTTTGTTTGTATTTTGAATCAATCCGATATCGTGTAATCAAGACAAATCCGATACCAAATGTGTATCGAATCAACGTAAGTAATCCGGTACGAAAACTAATAATTCCATTGACATTGTATACATTTTAATTAATAATAATTTCAACTTCATTCTTTATACTTATGGATTGCGTATCACACTTGGTTTGTTTTATGGTAATTTTAGATCTATGTAATCTTCCTATTGTTTGTGCATGTTTACAACAATATAATTGTCTGTAATTGTATAAATTGTGTCTCTTTTAAGCTCGTTTTCACCCAGTTTCACTTGTTGTTTCACTCAGCTTTATCGCAACTTTCATCATCGCTGCTTCTGTCCTTCAAAATAAGCGAATATCCTAATTCAGTAATGTTTATAAATAGACTTGTGCTAACCAACTTCACCCCAGTGTTTAACAAGTATCTAGTATATCATAGGACGTGTTTTAACGTATTAAAATCAGACATCTCAATTATATATATATATTAGGGATGGCCTATAAGTCTTGAACCTTAATCAAAGGTAAGATGGTAACTATAAGGCATGTCGATAAAAAATGATATCATTTTTCCGTCTTTGCCCTCCGAGGAGCTCCATCCTCTGGAGCGAAAACAGTATACATAGGGTGAAAAGTGGGCCCCTTTCTGAATATATGGATTACCGAAGGTCGACTGTCCTTAAATAACCCTGACCCTAACAGGAAGTACATTGTCTGTATAGTCCGATTTGTCCATTTATCGACAAAGGGCTAAAAAGTGTACGATGAGCAGATTTAAATATTTATAGATTTTAGAGATGTATATGTACCTTGTCTATTTCTTCAGAATTCTCTTGATCTGAAATAAAATAACTCAATAGAAACCAGGACCGTTTTACACAATGAAAACGTCACAACATATGAAGACGCTTGTTTTGGGTCTCGAGGGAAAATGTTTAACATACCTTCCTTTTTAATGGACTGTTCCATTAGACTGTCTAAATTGACGTAAATACGCCCAGTATTTCGAAGTTCTCCCAATGTATTGGACAGCTCTTTAAATGTTGGTCTGTCTTTTGGTAGATGACTCCAGCATTTTGACATTATCTGATATCTGAATAGATGCAGCAAATTTAACTTCATTAACAGAAAACTGTTTTTTCTCCTAAGTTGAACAACGATACCAAAAAGATCGTTTGAAAAGTTCTGCTAGGGCTGCCGTGCTGCGACGTATAGTCATGCATCTGCGCATGCACTGTATTTCATTACAACCTTTCTTGAAATAATACACCTTTCCCATTATAACATTAACGCGGTGAGCCTGATTTTACAGGAAGTTTGATTGGCTTCGCAAAACTAACCAGCCAATCAAACTTCGTGCAACATCATGCAGACTTCCTGCGCTTGTCATTATGAGAAGGTCTATTCTGATGATCACGACGGTACCATCTTACTTACATATCATCCGTACAGTTTTCCACCTTCTCCAATCTCTTTCCACTTACTAAGAATTTCTCAAGGTCCCGATCCGAGACCGCTGAGTAAGGCATGTTCCCTTTTAAGATACATTTTAGAATACATTTTATTACAAACTAAAAATTACATTTTTTATGGTGTGGGTATCACTGATCTGAGTATACTTAAATTAAAATATCCCAAGATGCTGCTGAGCATTGGGTACAAAACAAATAGCGAAAATATATACTTTCTCCAAGGAGGAGTATGTCAAGTGACAATTATGTTGTGTGTTATTAAATATGCATGTAAAGAATTCTGCCAAGCATCGCTTGGCTCTGATACCAAGCATAATACTTCACTTACCCAATGTACATATTTCCCACAAAACAACTCCAAACGCCCATCTGAAAATAGAAAGAATTAAGAATAAGAATATTGTATCGATTTTGGTATTCAAATTCCAGTTCGCAAAAGCTTTGAATGACGTAAAAATTCGTCCTACTCTCGGCCATGGTGCTACGAAAGTTGTCCGTAAAGGGACAAAGAAAGTTGCGGCAATCTTCTCTTCGATAGCTCGAAGCTGCATGCGTTTCTGAATGTTATATGCAGTATGCACATAGATTTTCCCTGCATGAACCCATCCTAATCAGGAGCGTTTCGTCCGTGGTAATGCACTTGTGTTACTCGGGTTACGTGTGTTCATTGCATGGTAGTTACCAGTCACTGATCACAGTCAACACAAGTGTGTACTTTTGGGCAGAATACTATCTGCCCTTTTCACATTGCGTGACAAGTTTTGAGGCCGCGAAGCGTCACCCCAACTTAGATAACTTATATATTAAGAATGCTCATGCAGTTCCTTCAAGCTAGTAAATACTCACACGTCACTGGCGGTAGAATAACTTCGTTCTTGTATCGCTTCAATTGCCAACCACCGGAAAGGAATTTTCCCGATAGATTTTTGCACGTATGCTCCTTCACGTGACAAACCAAAATCTGATATTTTCAAAGTTTTGTTTTTCCCAAGTAGTATATTCCTTGCGGCCAAGTCACGATGAACGATGCCATGGTCCGAGATATGCTTCTAATCGAGATAAATGCAATAGCATAAACATCATAAATGTCATGCATTAATATGTTATAAATAATGATAAGCATATTTTAGGTAGCTAGTTGTCAACTTGGATAGAAACACTCTTTCTCGTTAGATCCGGACTTCAAAGTGGGAATATCCGCAAAAAACTGCTTCCAAGTTATGAGTTTGTAAATTGTAATAATTATTGCATGTATGGCGAATGACAATTATTTTATACTAGTATTTGTTTGTGGTGCATGCATTCAAATTGATAAAAGAGAGGGGGGTGGGGGTGGTTCTCAGATTCAATTAGAAGGAGGGAGGTAAACAATTTTTCAATCTGATTAATCTTGTATAATTTGCCCCTGAAAATACTCTAGCGGCACCACTGAGTAAAACAACTCCTTAATGCAATAAGAAAAACGTTATTAATCACCATTATCACCTATATTTATCATTATACTTGAGGCGGCCGAAATGCATCTCTAAGACGCACATTATTTTGTAATGTTTTGAAAAAAGATATGGTATATATATTTACTCAACCATTACCATTCCGACAGCAATTTGATGTGAAAATGATTCCAGTTCTTTTGAATCCAAAGCAGCTCGGATTTCCTCTTTTACTCTGATCGAGATCTCTGCATTTGTATCTAATTATATGCATAAATTACACAGATATCAAAATAATGACAATTATAAATCATTCATTCACTCACTTGCGCTATGCTCTTGTATTTAGGTTTAATAGAGTTTCTCTCATCATATTAACTTTACCTGTGAGGCTTGCTACGTAGATCACAAGTTGGTCTATTATGCATGTGGTACTGTTCTGTATTCGAAATCGTATTGTATCTATGCTATGTAATTTTGCATGCATAGCGAATTTAGAATCAACAGTTTGCTATATATATATATATATACCACGTGTATTTTAACGTGGGTAAATAGTGGTTTTCCGCTAGGCGGAATTTTTCGACCAAACGAAATTTTTCGTCTGATATTCTTTTCAATTGCGAGAATTCGACCGTAGCGGATTCCCTTCACCGGTCACAATTGAAAAGAAAATCGAGCAAAAAATTCCGTCCGATCGAAAAATCCCGCCTGGTGGAAAACCTCCATAACGTATCAAATGATTTGTGGATAAGTGCATGAGGGTTTTCCTACAAATTGTTTATTTATGGTGTAATTACATTCATCTTGCTTTATTCTTTCGTCTTCCTCTTGTTTTTCGTGGCTTTTTCTTAGAAGTAGAGAAGATTCCGAGTCTTCTGGGTTTTTACCGAGCTTTCTGGCATTCTGGAAGTATCCCTGGAAACATTTTCAATTGATTTATGGTATAATAGTTATAACTCTTAACGATTCAATAAATGGAAAGGTTTGGGGAAGTGTCCGATGTAAAAATACGTGAAAAAACATGAGATTTTAAAATACACATATATATATGAAATGATTGTCAATACAATATAGAAATTAGATTATAATAGTTATGGCAGTTTGAAATGAAGAAGAACAAGCGACTTTCTATATAATTCCGATTATTGCCAACTATAATTACATGAGCTTACATGCACGCGGTCAAATGACCACATTTACTGGCCATTGAATGTCACACGTCATTTTCTTTCTGTTGACTGCACGCTTACAACGTTCCGTTAATAACCGGTAGTTGTATAAATGTTATGTAGTAAATTCTTGCATACATTGAATGCAAAATGAGCATGATTTTAATCAGTTATGAAATAAAACTAACTAACAAACAAACATGCAGAAACATACAGACGTACACGTGATATCAATACCTTGGAGTTTGTCACATTGTCTGTGCGCGCAGCTACGATATCGTTACACTATAAAAGAATAAGAATATTCCAATAATTTTCCTGTCGGTAATGAATCGAACTGTAGTATATTTCAATCAGTGCTATATATACTTGACGCCGGGTCCCAAAAATTTCCCTTTCAGGCTCCCCAGTCCTCCTGCTTCTAAGCAAGCTCCTTCTTCGCCTTTGGTGTCCCCAATCAAGAAATTTCTCTGTTTCGCTGTGGTCGACTATGGTCGTATATAAGGCTATATTTATATCAGCTCTTCTGCCATTTGATGATTAAGTAGCAAAAATAAATTGATTTTTCTCAGTAGGCAATGAGGAATACTCTAGAGATTTCGGTTTCAAATTATAAGTGAAATATCGGTAAAAACATTAGGTAATTTTTATTCACTAGCTTGATTCCTCACGAAATAGGCAATTTATTAAATTGATTGATTGTTTGATTGATTGATAAATTGATTGATTGATCGACTGATTGATGATTAGAATGATAATGTATTAAGCAATAGAAAACAAACTTTACGAAATGGATCACCAGCGTCAATCAGTACAAGCACTGATCACGCCATGCAATCTTATAACATATACACCTGCATGTTTGATTGGTGAGACATGTTTTACCTTCTTTTTAAGAGCTCTCAGATGATTAAGCAAATTTCCACCTGGCGCGTATTCCAACACTAGGCATATTGGACGACACTTTGTGCAGCAACCGTACATATTAATGACATTTTCATGTCCTCCAAGGTCTTTCATTAAATCGATTTCCCGTAAAAAATTGCTGAGGTCTTCTTCATTGGCAGATTCTGAAATGAATTGACAATCACTTATTTTATCTTCGAGTTGCACATGATGATACACTATGGCGTATATTTATTCAAATTTCGACTTTCGATGTTCCTAGAAATAAATTTTACTGTCTTTAAAGTTTATAACGAACGCTGCGCCTTTTCAGAGTCCGCGGTCGAAAAAACTGACTAATCTCTTTTGAGTTTAATTTAAAAGTAACAAGCATAATTATAACACAATTATTGTATTCCTTCGTGATATAGGGACGGATAAATCCACCCATAAACTCGTCATGCGTAAAGCCATACGTTTAATATATCATTTCGGCTAGATATTTGTTTATTTCTCAACAGCAGCCACGTGTTGTAGAGAATGCGTTTTCAGTACAGCAGCAGTCAAGCCGTAATTGCAAATAAAACTGAATGACAATGTACTACTATCCATCTTTAAAAAGTGTCGGGGATATCAACCTTTTAGTGTTTTTATCGCAACTTCTGTCACTTCAGGATTGCCGTTAATTCCATTGGCTTCACCAGCGTATACTCTTCCAAACGCTCCTTTGCCAATCATTTTGTGAAATCGCACAGAATCGGGAGGAAGTTCATATCGACTAATCGGCTCCAATATACATTCTGGAATCTCGTAAATGTTGTCTTGGGAAACGTAAATCAAATTCATCACTCTTCCGTCCGCCTCGGTTCTCAAAATCTCCGGGTCAACACTATATATAGTCCATAAGAAAGATATAATTCATGTCCAGTCAATAATATGTAGTATAATATGCATGTTATATGAAGTCCTGTAGTATCATACTGCGCATGTGTGTCCACATTGATGTCATTTTCATGAACCTCATACTCTTTATATCGTATGTCCATACCACTGAGCTATATAATAATTATGGATATATATAGAATTATTATATAGCTCAGGGGTCCATACTTTATTGAAAGTAAGTTCATGCACGTGAACGTAATAGATCCTTTCGATAAATGCGTCACAAGGTTACCTTTCTAAATTTAGAACGGTCACTTCATTGTTGTGATTTTTTGATGAAATATAACAAATACTTACGATCTTACATCGATGGTTCTATCTAAATTCATAGCAACCATAGCACATTCAAATTCCTTTTCTATAAAAGTCATTTGCCTCCTGTGACGTCTTCTTAAGCAAACAATGAGGAATACAGCAATTACAATCACAGCGACCGGTGTAAAAACTGCAGCAAATAAATTAACGCCTGTGTTACTTGCCACCTTTTCCTCTTTTTCTAAAAAAATACGAACAAATTACATGGTGCATTATATATACGAGAAATGCGATACATATACGCTTGTATTCTAGAAGCTCATGCACTCACGCTCAACTCATTAATTGATTGATTTGATCTTAATCTTTTCATCACGTTTCCATGGCGGTATTTCCACGTAGAAGATTTGTATGTTTAATTTTGACTGGATGTATAAACACACTAGTGACTATGTTTACGACGAAAAATTAAAAAATGTACAACTCAGTTAAATCCTAGTTCTGAGACCGGTTGTACGAAGGCTGCATGGATCGATAGCCCTATCCGCCATAAAGGAGTTTTTTAAACGGTTCTGAAAATGTTTGAAAAGCAATAAAATTTCAGCTTTGGAACCAACAATTGTAAAAGGGGCCGGATCCTCAATTTAAGAATACTATAAGATTATAGTCATACATGCAAAGTTATTCCTAAAAACGGAATCTCGATTGAAAAAAACACTATCCGCCTGGTGGTAAGCTCTATCCGCCTCCGTACTATATATGCATTAATCCCAACACCGTAAATCCTTCACATGCATGCGCGTGAGCTTGCAGTGCTTCGTAGATATTGGGAACATTATTATACGGTAACGTATATACCGTATATATAACATATCTTACCTACACAAAGACGTCCTCCCTCCTGATTCGGTATACATTTCTCATTTGCCCCACAAGGGTTTATTTCACATGGATTTTTATCTAGATTATATGCAAAGATTATATACTGAAAACATTGAAAAACGTAAACGTCTATAGATGAATAGCTCTTTTCGAATTTCTAAATTTTAGACTGATGCTTTCTGCGGCCCAAATTAGAGGCCATTTTCACGGTCCCCGTTGATCAGCAGGATCTTTCTAACATATATCACTCCCAGTCCATATAGCGTGACGATCTTGTGCAACCCGCCTAGTACGGGTCAGGTCATTTTCATATATCCCCACGATAAGGGGAAATTCACTTCCTGCCTTGCTCTGGGATCGGAACATGCATATAATTTTGCTATATCGCAGCGCTCTTATTTCTCCTAACACTCATTATTTCTCCTAACATGCACTCATTATTTCTCCTAACACTCATTATTTCTCCTATATAACAGGGATCACAGATTCATGTTGAAAACCTTTATTTTTCTTTTGTGATGATGTGACAGTCTTGCCCAGACTTTTTCCATATCCATGCACGGACGTTGATTTTTTTTAGACTTCGCATACACTGAATTGGTCGCATAACTATATCGGCCGTAAATTACATAATTGTTGAAGTATGGAAGGTATTTTTACCTATAATACATTTATTTCCACTCTCAACAAAACCGTTGTTACATCTGCATTCAGTCGTCGACCCAAAGGTACTTACACGATGACAGGTGCTATTTGCTTTGGCACAGGTGTGGTTCTCGCATGGAAGATAAACTACAAAAACCCCACAGCTCAATCAAAGAAACAGTTTGCATCAGGTCAAAAGGGAAACACTGCATGATAGAGTTTACTGCAGTTATCATAGGCTGCATTCATATATTTTGATTTTATTTTTGTTTGCATAAGTGAATTAGTTCTATATTTGATTGCTCTCAATTCAACTATAGAAATTGATTTTTAAAAGAAATAATCATAAACACTGCTCACTATTGTTACAAAAAGCCAATCACAAAACTGGACCATATTATAGGCAGATATATAACTTCAGTACTGCCTAATTCGAACCGAAAACATGCATGCATGTTATATATAACTACTTACTTTTAAACGACACAGAATGCCTCTTTTTAAATTCACAGTGGTGATTCGTATATCCAGTAATCTGTAAAAAAATAATGCATGCAGAGTAAATATTAATTTCCAAAAATATACAAATATAGAAATGCTCGTCAAATTACATATCACAACTGGTGAAAATATACAGCAATACCGAACGCCAAAACATTTAATAATTATGATAATATATACCAATATCCAATATTGTGTATCTTCAATGTTTAATTTAGAAACTGTTGCGTTATGTTGAAAAACCTATAAAACGATTAACATGATAGACACTTATGATAATAAATATGACGTTAATTAACTCTTGTAGCCTCTAAGCATCAAACGTGAAGAGTTTATCATGAAAGCTTGACAAAATATATCTCGCTACTATATATGCATGAATGTATGTACTTTATATGTATGTGGCATATCCATCGCTTACCTTAGATGACGCGTTGTAAAATTTTTTGTATAAAACCTCCTCGGTATCAGAGTTAGATAATTTGAACTGTAAGTACGTCAAATTGTTCCCATTTCTCCACATTTTATCACTCCAAGTAAAATACCCAGTAGCAGTCTTTGATGTGTCTCTTTCGAAAGTCGCGTTCAACTCGGTCCTTATGTTAACCACCAGGCCGTATTCATCTGAGCATGATTAAATTAAACATATTTAACAAAATTAGACATAATTAAATTAGATATAGTTAAATGTATAATTTAATTTAATTAGATATAATTAAATGTTGTTATAATTACACATATGAAAGATTTCGTTCAAGCCTTTGGCTAAAAGGCTGCCTCCAGCTTTCATGCAGTATACCATGAGTTATAAATTCATGTTTTAGGGTACCGAAAGTCTACAGCATAATTATATTAATTACTTTGTATTTTATATTTACTTTATATGCTTTGTATACTAATACCTTAGCTAGTTATGGTAATAATACTTACATGTACATCCGCACATTCTAATGTTACTGATTTTTATACATTCTGTAAAAAATTTGTATAATTATATAGAGATTTTTCATTTGACTATGACCATGTTTTCATTAAAGAATGAACAAGAAAATCAGGTCAGGTAAGCGGAAAACTTAAGAACATGTGAGGTTAATGCTTCTAACCATACTTTTGTTTGCTCAGGAATCATGCCTTGTTTCATTGAGAAAGCCTTTAAACTTACCAGGTACGTGGAAAATCCAGCTCCTTTTTGTTTGGGGGAGTGTAGCCGGCAGTACATGAGAACCATCCACAGCCTCCATCTTTATAGAATATAAAAACCTCACAATGGACCCAATACCATTTTATGGAAGGTGGCCATGTCAATTTTTGACGCATAACAAAAAATATGCCATATTATAGGCTTATTAGCAAACATAGCGAGAGTGATACTTTGATAAGTTTTACAACATTTCGCAAGAAAACTTCAGTAGAAAGTCTGTTGGAGCGTGTGTACAGGGTATAGCCTTACTTGGGAGTAACATTTTCGGGAGAACGGGAGGGACATTTTCGATTTTTAATATATGTCGCAACTTGCATGAATACCAGAGATTATAGGAATAGGAGAATACAAATATTTTAAAACATACGCTCAGCTTGTACCAACAATTATAGTATAGGGATTTTGATTCATCATCTTTGCTGAAGTTTGCCTTTTCCGTTTCGGTGAAGGTATCCTTAGAAAAAAATTATGATCATGCGTTTAAATACAAGTAAGTAAAGTACCATGCATGCTAAATACTAATTAGGTTGGCACAAGTTATATAAGTTGTCACGTTCATTAGTATCAATATAATGTTTCATCCTAATTAGCATTGTATGCATGGAGCAAATTTATTGGTCGACAACAATGCGACGTATTTGAAGTAATTTAAAACACTTGAATTAGCGTTTTATCATATCTAAAACGCTCAGTTGCGCCTCGTGTTTTGATGAAATTTGATAAAACGCTCTTTCTCGTGTTTAAACGCTACTCATGCAACCGCAAAAAATTGATCATTTTAAGCCTATAGGTTTCGTATCAATTGAATAGATAATTAACCTTTAACTTTATACATAATTATTAATAACATTATATTATAACTGTAACATTATATATACTTACGATCGAAACATTTTTTTCTTCAGATTGGACATCTCTTTTATCATAATAGTATGCAATACATTCACTTATTTGGGAAAAGTTTCGGAGAACGTGAATCTTGCCTGTTTCATTGACTAAAAAGAGATTGACAACTTCAGAGTATATATACAAATCTAGACCTGCTTATGGTTTAACTCAAAATCGGGTTATATACAAATAATCACACAACTTATTTTTGCGACGTTTATGTCATATACATACACGTAGTACTTGGGGTCCAATGAAAAATAGATCCTATATCAACACTCTTTGGACCTGTGTGATAACTAGGTATCTCTGTCGTCAATTCCAAGCGTATATTCGTCACACCACACGGAGGTTTTTCACAAAGTTCTAAAAAATGCAAGTATATGTTCATGTATCTGAGAGAAACCATGTGAGACAGTAACTAGGGTGTGAAAAACGCTCATTATTTCCCACGATAAGCAGCAATCTCTTACATGCGTGGATCTTGATTCGAGTCTTATACAATGCAGAGAAATCCAAACTAGTTAAATCTGTTTAAATCACAAGCCCTTTTTGGGAGACTATGATAACTGCATGAGACGTCTTCGAAATCAGTGGAAAGCGTGTTTACATGCAAGAGTTTCAATAAAGAGCATGCAACGTTATTGAACTCAAATATATACCGCATAAAAATTGGTGACGTGTTTCATCAATTATAAAGATCACAAGCCACAATAGTTATGAAATGAAAATGTTACAGCATGCAAGTTTAAGTGAAATATAACAGCATATAACCATACACTCTATACATCTTCTCAAATGAAACCGAGCTATCCATGCAAGCCTGCATTTAACTCATATAGAATGCTAGTATATGAGACCTGCATGTGCCGGCGTTTCCGTCCTGAGTGGCGTTGCCAGCCTGACTTTAATTTTTCACTCTTTATACTATTAGTTCGAAGAACAAGGACAAATAACACCAGGCACATGATAACTCAGTTTTGTTGAGACGCTTTATGACGTCATGATCTCAGATCAGCTGAATAGTATGCAAGTTTTAAGTTTTTACTTATATATACCTGTTGTATTTATGTTACTACTCCAGAAACTAAATGTTGACGATCCGTCACGTTTTAGGGCAATCACTCTGACTCTATAACCAGTATTCGGTTCAAGGTCTTCAATTGTATATTTTGTATGATTGGTCTGTATTATATAAAAAGCGGAAACATATAACAACTATATATATATACAAACAAGTATTTAAAATCTGCTATGTATTTGTGGATGATACACATTATGTATGATGATCCCCACCTTCGGAATTTTAATTGAATTAAAATCATAAAAGGAGCTCTATATTTTTTATTCCTAGCTATACTACATGTCACGACGCTAAATGATGCTAAATTTGTTATATGAGCATGCAGAAGATAGACGTAGAATGAACTTACATCATACATAGATGATGTGAAGTATACCCTATATATCTTCTGCTTATAACAAACATTTTAGGCGACGCGACTGTCGCGACATGCATGCAGTTGCCTGTTGAAGTAATATTATAGAGCTGTGTCTTCTTAAGTCAAAGATAGAGTCTCCACTTTTTGACTCTTGCTCAATTTGTTATTAGCATGGACTTTACCTCATCTCTAAACAAAATGTTGTTACTGTTTTTTTTTAAATCGGATTTTTGTGTATATGTCTGTCATGCATGTCCAGTCAATTGAAAGTAGTGGTTTTTAGTTTGAATTTGGAATGTTTTAGCGTATTAATTTTCAAATAAACAACCATATCTGTTAGGTCGTGGGAAATTGTAATCAGTGCTGGTATAATGAGAACTTACAAGGAAGTATTTCTTTGTGTAAGGAAATACAACAAAGTACTGGCCTCTCTCTTGACGACCCCATAATGGCTTAACTTCTAAGATATAATCAACTTCACTGTGGTTCTTCAGCTCTGTTGTATTGAATTGCACTCGTATTTTCTGCCACCCAGCTTCAACCAGACTCGGTGCTGCTAGTTTTCGCAAACCACCAGCACTTTCAAACTTTTCAATGGCTATATACAAAATGAAAAGGAAAATCATTACTTTTTGACGCTAGATGGAGTGCCTTGCAATTGGGGGCCGTGGTAAGGTTAATGCATGTAATTCATCGCTTGATTGATTGCATGGTACAGGTTCAAATAATGGATTTTAAAGATGTTGCATGTTCCGTTGAATTTTACTGACCTTTTTTCACGTGGGAGCCAAGATACTCCTGAAGACATTTCGTTTCGCAGAAAACTGGATATTTCACGAACTGATGATAAAACAAAAAGAAATAAGAATAGCCAATGCACATGCATGTACGTGTCATAGCGGGGTTGAAGTTAATAAGTTCACAGCAACTATATAGGTACATAATCCATCGCATGCGCAGTGGACGACATGCGCTATACTTTCTTATTATTATTTCGATTAAAGATTAGTCCGTAAAGTGCAAGTCGACTATGCATTATCTCGATTCTGGTTTTCAATAAATTAATCATCACCGAAAGATCACATTTCCCACCCAACGTTTCGACACTCCGGTCAGGGGTGATCTGATGTTAAAACCCTGATCCTTAAATAATCTGATGTTCTTTTAAAAAGGTTTCGAACTGACGTTTTGTTTCGCCTAAATATTTATTTAAGGTTCGGAAAAAATATGTCCCGAGCATCGCCTTTCGACCAAACAGAAGGCGCATAGGAAAACATTCATGTCAACTATAACAGCTACGTTGCTACTTTGCAACTACAACATTAGCTACATTGCTACTTTGCAACCCATAATTTTCTGGGTCAATTAAATAATCCATTCTTTAGAGATTAATAATTGATATACCGCCGGCAGTCTTTCAGTACTGAGCTTGTTCGATAATATATCGATATTTATGGCTGATGGCGTGATGCTTTTATAACGGCGCAGACATTTGCATGCATATATAAGCGTCAAATGCATTATTTTAAATAATCTATTTTAATACCTCATTTGGTTCGCATGCACATTTTGATATATAGGCCAATATATAGCCAATAACGAACATCCTTTGTCCGCAAACTACTTCACAGCGCGAGCCTACATGATAAAAACTCTTTTTATTGCATGCAGTATGTATACACGTTTATGAAGCTAATTTTTTTAAAACTTTAAAAGGATCATATACATACATATTTTGATAATATAGCTGTATATATATATTATATAGTATTACCAACCGCAAAACAATTAGCAAGTTTCAAATTGAAAGTATACGTAAGTTATATACACCGCGAGCATAAAGAGCACCCAAATTTTAATCGTGAAAAAGCTAGTACACAGGCCCAGACGCCGTACGGCGTGGCAGTTTACTACAAAAGCATTTTTTTGTTGCATGTATCCAGAAAAAGGAGAGTTCTAGGGCAAGCGCCAGAATGGCTAGAAGCATGTATGCAAATTCATACATATGCAGGTATAAACAAAACACAATCCAATGATCGATGATTTTGAAATAAAAACGAAATATTTCTACCTCACTTTTGTCGCCTTGATTTAGTCTATATTTTAGACTTTCCAACTGTTTTAAATTGTGGTTCCGGATTTTAAAATACAGGCATAACTACAGTCTAATTGCGTTTAGAAATAGCGGTGTCAACATTTTGTTTTATATGTATCCGACAAATAGTAACATTACTTTAGTGCAATAAATTGAATTACAACCACGCAATCGTGGTTTTTATTTAGCTAAGTATGTGATCCGTGCCAGCAGCCATGCAAGCGCCTCTTACACGCAACAGACCACCGGATGGAGATGGATTTACACGACTGAATGCATGATGAAGATGATGCCCATACGCTGTATATACTTCTTGTGTCGTGATAACGTGTTTTTTATTTTGTTATTTCTTGCGGGGGTAGAAAATTTACCAAGACATGCATCAAAAGGCCGGGAACGTCGGAACGAAAGCGGGAATTATAAAGTTGCTCGCTGCGGTACCGCGCAGAAGTGCTCTAAGGCTATAAGAATAAAGCTATTAATTGAAGACCGTGACAAATTTAAAACAAAAAAGTTTTGTTTTGCTTTAAAAGCTTTAACCCAAAAGTTGACGTTTTGGGTTAAAGCGCGCAAATCTGCATGTTTTTCTAATTAATGTTGCTTTTACTCAGATCATCTGAGTAGCTAGTAGCTATATTTCGGATAGCATTCCTAATCAAACCGCAGTAAAGCATGAACCCACTCCTCTTAAGGATAATACTTTAAAGTATGACCTAACTTTCGTGATCGACACAGGTAGTATACTAGCTCGTACTGACCGCTTGAGTGTCGTTTATAAACAAAGTTTTACTTACTTTTTTCTCGCAATTTTTCACACATCCTTCGATATTTACCTCAAGGGCCCCACATAATACAATCACCGTAATCAGGAGACAAAATGCTTGTTCGCAAAAGTGCATCGTGAAATTAATGCGGAGCTCTCGAACAAGGCAGCAGACGAGATGAGCTAGCGGCCGTATAGCGAGGACTGAATAACTTCAAACAGCTATAAACCAACTGTTGACACTCAATTCAAGTGGGAGAAATACACATATCGAGACCGGCATTGATTAACTTTTTATATACTGCCATAGCGGCGGACTGGGGGGAGGGCACAAAAAATTTCAGTTAAAATTTGCATTTTTTTTTAATCTGCATGCATGGAGCTTTAGAAACGGCCATTTAAGAGCGCATGCAGGTACATACTATATACATACATTACTACAACCTATATACATAGTATACATACAATTTCAAATGAATTTGAAAATGTATTTGAATTTCAAAACATTTCCATTGAAAGTGACTGTATTATTAAGCGACACATCTAGACATATCACTGAATTAGTTGCCATGGCAAGCAAGCGTGACACGCGACCTCAGAAAAAGAGTGTGGATTCGGAAATTTGTAGTTGCTGCCTATTTATAAATTATGTATGTAGGGACTTTAAGATACACCAAAACTACGACGCGGACGTGAATCAATTCTGTCTTCATGCATTTCTACAGTTTCACAACAGGAATAAAAATTATATACGGACTGCTTTTGGTATAAACAAAACCAGCGACGTATGTAAAATAAACTATACTGAATTAAACTGCAGCTGGGTTCTTAACATGCACTACCGGCTGATTTCATGTCACGTCCGCGTCGTACATTTGGCGTATCCTAAAGCCGGTTTTCCACAAGCGATATTTTTCGCGCGAAGCGACTTTATTCCTTTGTATTTGAGCAATTTGTTCCAGATGGTTGCAGTTGATAGCTCTGAAACAAAAGTAAAATGTCGCTTCGCGCGAAAAATATCGCTAGTGGAAAACGGGTTTAAAGGCCCGTTTACACTTGAGATTTTTTTTTGCGATTTTATATTTTTTTTTCTTTTGATAGATGTGAACCGCAGTGAACGAGTAATTAGCTAATTACGAATTCTGCATGTGATGTGCACGGGCTCCTATTTGAACATGTGTAACTAACTAATCAACCGCTCGTTCACATCTATCAAAAGAAGAAAATCGCACATAAAATTGCTGCAAAAATCGCAAGTGTAAACTGTAAGGTTCCTATAAAATACACCATTGACGATTTAGACAAACACATTTTAGGCGAATGTCAATTGATAAAATATTTTTCTTTTCATCGATGCCACGAAACTTTCCCACCGAATAACAATAATTTAACTAATTGCATGTTCATTATATTTTTATTGTATAACCATACAACGTGCATGGTAGCGTCTTCGGTCGCGCATAACTTCTCATTAAATGTGGTTATAAGAACTGGTCAAAAAGTAAAAATTTACAAAACATTCTCCTTATATACGAAGGCTGTTGAGTCGAAACGTCGAGAGGTATCTATTTTACTTTTTAGGAGTAATTGTTTATTAATAGTTTACTCTCGATATGACGGATAAAGAAATGTGTTGCAAATTCCTTGAAGCGAGGCAATCCGACGTATACACCGCGATGGATTTGATATGAGCGTTCATGTACAAAGATATATATATATATATATATATATATATATATATATATATATATATATATATATATATATATATATATATATATACCAGATAGGTTGATAAAATTTCGATCATGCGAGAGAGATACATCAATTACCGAACGAAATATTGCAAAATTCACTTGCATTAGTTAATTTACACCTACCTTTTTCTTACAGTTGTTCACACATTGTGAAATTTGAATTTGAATATGAAACGTTTCAAGGGCCTCGCATAACACAATAACCGTAACAAAAAAACGAAAAACTCGTCGACAAAGATTCATCGCGGAGTTAAATTTCTACGAGAAAAACGACAGCATGTATAAGTAATAAACATAAAACCGAGAACTATAATTTAATGAGATAAGATGCACGAGCTTGCCTTATTCGTATAATTTAATATTTGAATTCACTTACGTTATATTTGGTATAATGCTATATTATATTATATTTTATAATATTAACTTTTGGCGGGCATTTTGGTGTATTTTGCGGGCTAAAAAGACAAATTTGAAATATATTTTAGCCTGCTGATCTAAGCGACTTATCAGACTGAGAGTGAGAATGACTGAAGTGTTTACCGCGATAGCATATTTTTTTATACAAAAATTGCCCTTTAAAGTTAGAATATTGGCAATAAAGTTTATATTCTTGGGCATAAATATAATGTGTTTTGACCCTCCTTGCAGAACACATCAGTTTTAGCCCTCGCTACTTTAAAATGGGTTCAGAGTCACCCAAAAACATATTTATGCCGGCGAACAACAACTCTATTATTTTGCAATGCAAATGCAATGTGTTCGTCCGCTGTCTTAAGGCATGAAGCCAGCTCTCATAACTCAGTAACCGTATAATTTGTCAGTTTCGCGATACAGCAATATAGTAGTGGGAACTATAGGAATCTAATGAAAATTAGCTCACCGATGAAGGATAAGGCATTCATAGTGAGGTATACAGGCAGTAACGGTATATACCGGAGTTTTTTTAGAATAAAGCAATGATTAATGCGGACATTTTTGGATTATGTGTTCGGTCGCCGTCGGTGGAGCTGGAAGCTATACATGCCAATATGTCTTTTATCAGGCAGTTTAAGATTGAAGTCTACTGCGTAAGAAGACCGAACTCCAGATTATTAGAAAAAGGGCCTGGTGAGCCAGCCATCAGGCGCTGAGATGGAAAACAAACCTCATCAATATATCGTCGACTATATGTCAGAGATAAATTTCATATCATTGTGCCTGTGGGCAACAATGATACAAATCATGATTCATATTTAAATAGACAATGTAAATATAGTTTTAGCATAGTAGTTCTAACCTTTAAGCTTTTTAAAATACATTTTGTAATTATTGTAGTATATATATATATATATATATATATATATATATATATATATATATATATATATATATTGATTCTGAAAAGCCCTTTTCATTCATTCATGCATTCATTGATGCGTTCTTATATTCTCAGCCCCAATATACGTATAGTGACAGATGCATTCAAACGCATGAAAGCAAACATATATGCATTCCGTTATATTCAGGAACATGCATGTATCATATTGTAAAGCTTGTCTATTTATGTCACCATCAGTCGGCGATGGGCATTGTATGAAGTAAACGATCGCTTTATACTGCATGTTTCGCTTTATATATAACGCGCGGGATTTGTTTTTTCAATAGTGACCCACAGTCGATAAACACGCATGCATCTATATAAAGAGGAAGACGTGTTAACTATTATAGTTGTAAATACAATGCTTTAAACATTTCCCTTTGTCGTTTAATACTACATATTACATAAAGTACCTCATTGTTGATAATGTGCGATGATCATTTAGTCTTTCAGGTCGTAAATCTGCACGCAGTTCGTGAATTGCAATGCCAATACCGGAAAGCGACGTGTGATTATAATTTATAGCTACAATGCTTGCTTAATATCAGAACTAAATTTATGCGTGCTGGGACTGCTGCCTGCTGGCTCTCCAGGTGGTCTAAATGCACGTATCCGCATTCGTTTAGCGTTTGTTTTTCGGGTACCATGCACACGTATCCGCGTATGCAAATAAATTTATAATATTACATTTACAGTGCGCGCGTTCTGATTGGTCGAGAAGCATTTTCTATAACTGTATAGAAACACGGGAATTTTCCCGCCGAACTTGACAAGCGAAGCGATTTAATGAGAATTTGTAATTGAATCCGAATTATAATTTTACAAAATCTTTTTATTGAGTTATATTATAAAGAAATACAAAATATTTTTTCCTGTGTTTCTATACAGTTATAGAAACACTTGTGGGAGTCTGGCAGAACTCGAAATAACGTGATTGTTTCTGATTATGTTCGTTTTCATTATAATTTTTCGTTCTCCCAAATCCCACGCGTGTTTCTATAAATGTATAGAAACACGGAATATGTTTTCTATTTCTTAAATTCTTTTAATTAAAAAGTTTAACAGCTATGTCAAAGACCAACATATTAGTGTTCATTTGAAATGAAAATCCACAAATTTTATGCTATAACGAACAGCCGAAATTTGAATTGGTTTTAAAATAGTATTCAAACGTGCTCGCTTTAACCATGGATGGTAAAAGTGATTTTATTATCCATGCATGCTTTAACATCACGTGAGTTTTAAAACCATGTCTGAATACGCTGGTCGCTAGAATTGCTTTCGTGATCGCTGTGATTCTACAATTTAGAATGTGTCTTGATTTTGTTTGTATGAACTTTCACTATTATTTCAACTATTATTTCACATATTTAGTCATATTTTTCGAATCGTTGTGGAAAGGACGCGATTTTGGCAACGATTTTTCAAAGTTTTGAATTTTTAACAACATGCGTGCATATATAAATTTTATAAATTCTTGGGATTACTTAACGATGATACATTTTGACTGCTTTGGCGTCCATAGATTCCAAATTTTGCTTCCATGCAGAATTCAATTTACATGCTTCTGAAAACTCAAATATCGCCTCGCATTGACATCGTTCGGTCCGCGTAGACCTGGAGAGCGTTTCCAAAAGCTTGCAGTTACGCTATGCGTTTTCGCCGGACATACGTGTGGATGCTAACGGCTGTATTCTAAAAGCTCACTCACACTCAAACTCATTGAGTGGGAGATCTTAATCTTCTCATAACGTTTTAATGGCGGTTTTTCCAGCCGAACAGGGGCTTGATTTTCAGTGATTAATCTTATATCTTTCCATCTATTCAGAAAAAACTTTCCATTCATCAGCATTAACAAAATTCATATATGTCCCACTCAATGAGTGTGAGTGTGCTTTTTGAATATAGGCGTAAGCGTAACAGCGACGGATACGTGTGGACGGGATCTTGTGATCACATGCACTCATTGAAAAAAAAACGTGAAATTGAAAATACACATCATCATGCAAACGAATTGCATTATCAACCGGTCGTAGAAGACATTAACGCAAAAGAAATTGCCACGTTTTCCAATATACGCACATATTGTATTCATTGTAATATATTGTTAGATGAGAGTATGAACATGCAACAAAGACCACACTATAATTAACGTCTCTTAGGGCGGCGACAACCATTCAAACGGCAGGGCATCTCTGTAACGAATTTCACATAAATAAAAACCAGTGTCTTGCACTATTTACTTTTACAATGGCAGGATGGGCAAAATTTTCGGAGCGGTAATCGGGAAGCGAGATTTTAAATCTTCCATATGCACGTCAGCGAGTTTGTTATGGAGATAACGTAACGTGATGTTGGAGTTTTGCTTGTCAGTTTATCGTTATGGCTTCCAGCCGTGTTTTATCAGTATACGTCTGGCTTTGTTGTTGATACGTGATCGTTGATCATCAGTTTTCTTGTTATATAATTATATTCCTATAATGCTCCTATAATACTTTATTGTTCTCCTCAATATGTCCTAAATCTTAGCTATACTTTGAACAGTATCAAGATATATGAACATTTCAGTAACACATATAGTTCATATAGTTAAGTACTTTTAGCGCATGCGCGAAAGAACAAGAACATGTGTTTGTCTAACGACTATAGTGTATTTTAGTTTACATATCTCATAGTTACATAGTTTCCATATTCTATTCTACAACCTGAAAAGTGGAAATTGAAATAAAACGAGGTGGGTGCAGGATTTAATTAAACGGAAATTGTTCGCGATGGCAGGATATAAAACCAGTGCAATACCCTCTAAAAAAGCCAGTACAATACCCTCTAATCTAAAAAATTCAATTCATCATGCGTAATCTACTGCTATTTTCATTCCTCGATGTTGCATGCGGCAGGCTTGTTCTTTTTTGTACTTTATTCTGTACTTTGATCAAATGTTTTCAGCCAGTTATCAATGGAGTCTCGTTTCTAGGCGAATCAACGTCATCACCACTTTCATCGCAGCTGTCACTGTCCTTCAAAATATAAGCCAAAAATACCGATAGTGTATGTGTAAGAGCGCTCGTTAGAGGGGTGTGGAGGGTTGTGACACACCCGTCTTTTGTAAAAATAGTTCGAAAATGGCGATTATAATTGCATGGAAAGTATTTTCAGGGGGCCGTTTGCATGCAAAGTATAAAAAAAACAATTCAAGGATATTTTGAGCTATTCAGGCGATTTCATATTATACCTTTCCGATTTCTTCAGAATTTTCATCACCTAAAGTTAGAGAAAATTCTATATCAGTCACACAATGCAGCCAGGGAGCAGCGTGGCAGTGTCTTCAAACAACTTAGCATCAAATGTGGTATAACAACTGCCTAAAATAGACAAAAACACCTCTCGATGTTTCGACCTGGGGCCTTAATCCCTGAGGGCCTTCGTCAGGAGAGTTTGAATATGATACTACCCTGACGAAGGCCCCCAGGTCGAAACGTCGAGAAGTGTTTTTGTTTATTTTAGGCAGTTGTTATACCACATTTGATGCTAAGTCACACAATGCGTTCTATTGATCCCCATGCAGTTCCCAGCGTTAGATGCGATGCTCGTTACCGAGGGCGGGTCGCTTAATAATGTTCAACATACGTTCATTTTCAGTGGACTGCTTCACTAGACTGTCTACGTTGACATATATACGTCCTTTATTCTGTAGTTCCCACAATTTATCGTACAGTTCTCCAAATGTTGGTCTGTCTTGCGGTAGATGACTCCAGCACTTTGACATTATCTCATATCTAAATAGAAGCAAAAGATTTAACTAAACGATATATCTTTTTTCACCCCCTCAACAACGATGCAAACAGTTTGCTAACTTTGCTCAATTTACTTTCAAGACAGTTCTGGCTATATACTAAACAAAACTTCCCAAGTCCGACCTTGCGAAAGTAATTACAACATTCATGGCAGCATGATTCATCTTACATATTATCCGTGCAGTTCTCCACTTTCTCTAATCTCTTTCCACTGAGTAAGAAATCTTTAAGGTCCCGGTCCGAGACTGTCGAATACGGTGTGTCTCCTTAAAAATAGCGCAAAATACAAATCTCAACGCCAGAATAACCGCATACTAGCACATTCGCAACTTCATGAAGATAAATATGGCGAGCTTTCAACAAAATTGTGCATGATATTTCAATTTTAAAGCTTGTGTTGAATCTTATCTATGTTAGCCATCTGCATGCTGCTATATCCTTTCCGTTGATGCATGTGGTTAGGTGAAACATTGAAAAACTTTGGTACAAAATAAGGGGGGGGGGGGTGAAATGACAGATTCTTACCCAATGTACATATTTCCCACAAGACAATTCCAAATGCCCACCTAAAGGAGTGAACAAACCTGTATTGAATAACTCATATAAATAAAATCCTGGTATTCAACAAACATCGCAATTGTCGAAATTACCTCGCAAAACCCTATAGCTATCATTAAAATGGGTGCAAAAATCGTGGTAATCGTTAACTACCGATACTATATGATTAAATTTGAATACTATATAGCTAGCGTGATCTCGCCTGCATACCAAAATTGCTAAGTTGTATGCTTCTATATGAGATAAAGTTGACAGTTGTTGCATGACAAATCAGTTACACAGATTATACATGACATGCAGTCATACAGAATATACATGGTTGGAGACTAAATAAAAGTACAATACAATTAACTCATTCACTATTTTTTTGTTCAGGTTTATGCAAAAAACGGTTCCTTTCTCGTCACGTGCATGTCTATTGTATTTTAGCCAAATTTACCAATGGCTTTCGTCTTGCTAAGCTCCTCAACCTTGACTTGAAAAATTGTTAATTATAGGATTGTTATTGGTTTGTCGGTGCAAAATACAATAGACATGTGATGAGAAAGGAACAATTTTTGCATAAATCTAGCTACCTCAACATAGTTAATGAGTTGTATTGTAGTTTTATCGGTGGTCTCCAAACCATGTATATTCTACTAACTGCGGTATAACCGGACGGGTTTTTTCCTATTGTCTCTCCTCCAGTCAACGTTTTGAACCGGTTTATTTACACCACGACTGAGAAGCGTTAACCACTAAATTTGAGAACGTTGAACTTACACCATAAGGAACAGAACTTTTTGGTTGGTCGAGACACTTTTTGGGATAGCTCAGCGGCGTAGCCAGAACGATAATTGGGGGGGGTCCATATTCATATATTCGTGATACGCAGGATTAATTTCTTTTCAAATCAATTGTTTTTACAGTCTGTTTACATGAATATATGAATATGGACCCCCCCAATTATCGATGCTGGCTACGCCAGTGGGATAGCTTCAGTGGAAAAGAAAAGACAGGCTTTAAAGTAAATACTCACACGTCACTGGCGGTAGAATAACTTCGTTCTTGTATTGCTTCAATTGCCAACCAACGGTAAGGAACTCTCCCGCCAGGTTTTTGCACGTATGTTCCTTCACGTGACAAACCAAAATCTGATATTTTCAATATTTTGTCTTTGCCAAGTAGTATATTCCTTGCAGCCAAGTCACGATGAACGATGCCGTGGTCCGAGATATATTTCTATGCAGATATGGATAAAAAATGGATATCACGTGGTATAAGCTCGACATGACCAACTATAAGCCGAAATTATGTCTATCGACGCGAGGTAACAAAGGGGCATTCAAACAACAAAGGAAACTTTATTTCAAAGGGAGTACTTTAAATGTGAGAACCTAGGTAAAGCACTGTATATTTGAAAGTATTACCATTCCGGCAGCAATTTGATGTGAAAACGATTCTAATTCTTTTGAATCCAAAGAAGCTCGAATTTCTTCTTTTATTCTGTTTGAGATTTCTGCATTCGACCCTATAAAGATTTAATTATCATGAAATGACGTTAATAAACCGAAAGCAATTATTTCTGCTGTGCTCTGGGTATAATAACAACTGACTTGAGAAAGATAATAAAGTCGAAACGTTATGTTTTTGTAATTAACTTATAAATGGCTTTTTGCCTGCATGGTGATTGCCCTATATCAGGCAACGTACTAATGAAAACACGGTTAAATCACGCGAGCTATTAGTTTAATTGTTGACGCGTTTGAACGTTTGAAATATCCCGCGAGGAATTTTGTGAAACACGCATTTTGTTAAGTACTTAACAGCGTTTGTTAAGTACTTAGCGTTTGTACGAAACAGGATGTTAAGTATAAAACAGGATGTTAAGTACGAAACAGGATGTTAAGTACGAAACAGGATGTTAAGTATAAAACAGGATGTTAAGTAGTTTTGCATGTATGTGTGATCACCTCCATCTTTTGTCACGCTCTTTTCGTCCGATGGCATTTCACCTGGCTCAGTGAAGTTTTCCTGAAATGATATCATGTATGTATTCACACTCTTTCCCTGTTATAAATATGTATATATGCACACTCTAATAACGCCTTTGGGGCAAATTGAAAAAAGAGGTTTCAAAAAGCCTGCCCCGTCGGAAAATACCTAATTTTAAATCTGCCTGCATGCATGCACGAGTAATTGAAAAATTCTGCTGCATGTCTTATCAAAAAAGATTCTTATTCTCCTGCTTTCCCTTGGTTGTCTCTTGCACATCGTTATATCAGTTTTTGAAGTATTTGAGAAAAAATGTGAATATATATAGTCTAGAGTGTAGAGATCATTCTTTCTTTTGCCCAATCTGATGAAAATATACAGATATATATCCATGTAGTATCACTACCTCTTTGGAATTTGTCGGTCCGTCATCTGTACGCGCGGCTACTACGCTATCTTTACACTGTAAAAAATTGTATATAAGCATATGATGACTACTTACTTGATCGATCACTATAATATATGAGCTATTCTGCTCTCTAGTATAGCAAACACGTGAAGAAAACGTGCGTCAGAATACCGTAACTTGTAGCAAGTCTGTTCACAAGCTTGCAACAAGATTTGTTTGCACTGCTTGCCCCATAAGGGGCTGACGAGTTGGAACAACTTATTAATAAGTTGTAACTATAACTTATACATATACTTATAGGCTTGTATCACTAATTTTCTGAAACACTGAATGGGCGTAAAACGTATGTTACATACCTTCTTTTTAAGAGCCCTCAGATGATTAAGCAAATTTCCACCTGGGGCGTATTCCAACACTAGGCATATTGGACGAGTTTTTGTGCAGCAACCGTGCATTTTAATGACATTTTCATGTCTCCAAGGTCTTTCATTAAATCGATTTCCCGTAAGAAATCACAAAGTCCCTCTCCTTTAGCGGATTCTATAGCGTAAGGCGAATGATAAATAATCCTACATGTTTGATGTTTCCATACAACGATTTTTAACCTTTTAGCGCGTCTCGGGCGAAATGTGCCACGTAAGAACGCACTATTATACTGAATACTATTGATCAGCATGAAGGGGCGCAAATAGGGAGAGGTGTGTGACACCCCCTCAGCTTTTGTGAATTAGTCTTAAAGTCGCGGTCCATTGCGACCACTTCACTGCACGAAAATGATACACATTTCTACTGTCCTCCAACGCAATATTGATAAAAATATTACAGTATGTCAGTGATATTCACCTTTAAGTGTTTTTATCGCAACTGCTGTAAATTCGGGATTGCCATTTATTCCACGGGCTTCACCAGCGTATACTCTTCCAAACGCCCCCCTGCCAATCATCTTGTCAAGTTTCACAGAATCAGGCGGTAGCTCGAATCGACTAATTGGTTCCGATAGATATTCTGGAATCTCATAAACGTTCTCTGGCGAAACGTAAATCAAATTCATCACTCTTCCTTCTCCCTCAGTTCCCAACATGTCAAGGTCAATCCTAATCCATAAAATACACAGATTTATATGTTCTGAAGTTTACAGGGCTGTTTCAATAGCCGAACGCACTGTCAACAGTGGATATAATAAAGAATCTCAACTATCATTGATCAGTCTATTGTTTATAATGCCTTTGCCACATATGAGGGATGCACCGCGTTTGACTAATCCTAGCTTTAGACGCATATACCACTCATATAGTTGACATGAAAAGTGGTAATTGCTCCCAACATTCTCGTGGTTTGGCGAATATTTTTCTCCTAGCATACGTATGATAACTGACACTACTGCATGTCCTGAAGGCATGATGAGCTAGTTCATTCATTCATATGTATATGTATATATATATTAATATATATATATATTAAATAATATATATATATACAGTAGGAGGCAAAAGTTTGAGTCCAGTCGTTGTAGAATTCCAGTATTAAATCCTGGCAGCGTATTGGAGTTAAGACATGCGTGCTAGTGTTTCAGTACTGTAAACTATATTAATTGCCAACTGTTTTGGTCCTAATGATCTAAATTATAACAAAATAAAGTTCTCATTCCTTTACACTGCCCAAGATGGGTAGGAAAAAGGGCAAAGTGATGGTGCACAAGGACAAATAGTTCCATTAAGTATTGAAGGATTCTTTCCTCGTAAGATCGCAGAAGAAGTGAGAATTTAAAAAGGTGGTATGCAACTAACCTTGGAGAGGTTCGAAGAAACTAAATCCTACTCAAGCAAACTTTTAGCTGCTTTGGTCATGCTCGGTTTGGCAATATTGAAAGATATAATAGGATCCTAATTAAAGAAAAGTATCATCCAATTCTTCAAGGACATGGAATTTCATCTGGTACAAAGATGATCGCACGTCTAACTACATGATAATCACCCTAAGCACATGCACATCTTCTATGTGCCAGAAATCGTTTAGAAGCAAACTCATTCTGGTGATCTCGTTGTCATGGCTTTCCACCTCATATTCCAGATCTAAAACCTATGGAGCACTTGTAGAACCGTTTTAACCGGAAGAGGGCGAGGCACAGACCCGCCAGCCAGGCTGACTTGAGGCAAGTGGTCAACGAATGCTGGCAAGGTATTGAACGTGTGACATTAAAAAACCTATGGAATCTATGCGAGCAAGAATAAAGGTCATTTCAAGAGCAAAAAAGAGGGAACTAAGCAATGACATGTAAATGCATGCTTGCACATTAAAATACGTAAAAATGAATATCACAACATCTCATAGTTGTTGTACAGCATGTATTTTTCTGTTTACTTGTTTACTTTTTTCTAGTTCACTTATCGGTAAGGTTTTCTGTAGAATATTAATATATGCTGCTGAAACAAAGAAATACAGTCACTGGACTCAAACTTTTGCCTCCTACTGTATATATATATATATATATATATATATATATATATATATATATATATATATATATAAATTTACCGAGATAGTATGAGGAGCTACAAGCAGGACAACATATCACTATTGCTTACCATGATCAATATATATATATATATATGTATGCATGTATATATATATATATATATATATATATATATATATATTTATATATATATATATATATATATATATATATATATATATATATATCAAAATTTAGAAAGGTTGCTATAGCAAATCAAGAGTGCACAAGCCGAAGCGTGCTTTATTTAAATTTTTCGGTAAATTTATATATATATATATGTATATATATATATATACATACATACGACATAACACATATATACTTACGATCGTACATCGATGGCTCTTCTATTCGGATTTATAGCATCCATAGCATATTCAAATTCTTTTTCCATGAAAGTCATTTGCCTCTTGTGACGTCTTTTTAAGCAAACGATGAGGCATACGGCAATTAGAACCACTGCAACCGGTATCAAAACAGAAGCAATTATAATGCCAGTGTTACTTGTCCCTTTTTCTGAATCATCTTTTTCAGTTTCAGGTTTTTTTTTAGAGTCTGAAAAATAAACGTAATTTCACATATATATAAACGTAATTATATATATATATATATATATATATATATATATATATATATATATATATATATATATATATATATATATATGAAATATATGATGTAGACATGAACTTCTGCGGACATAAAAATTTATTCAAATAATTAAAAACGTTTCGCTATTTACAGCTTCATCAGTTTATTAAAAGTTCAAGCCATACACCGCTCCCTTTTATAATGCGTCCATCTAATTACAAATGCTATATATCTTGCGTTCATTATAATATTGGATATTGTAAAGTAGTATTCCCCAGGTGATGAACCCTCCTTGGAATCATGGTTGTATTGGCAGGTTTATATATATATATATATATATATATATATATATATATATATATATATATATATATATATATATATATATATATATACATATATATATATATAAATATATATATATAATATATAAATATATATATATATATATATATATATATATATATATATTTATGGCAGTCGCGTATAACATTATTATACAGGTGCTCATACCGGGTTGTATGCACTCATCTCTTTTCTCTAAGAAACCATCCATACATCTACATTTCCTTTTCCCCGTGTAACCATCTGGATAGCATATGCTATTATTTTTACGACAAACGAAGTTTTCGCATGGAAAAGAAACTATACAAAAGGAAATCGACACAAATAAACACATTTCGCGGTTAACAGGATTTCGCGGTCATGCCTCGAGTAGCGTCTGCATGTTATAGTCGGAAAGAAACTGCGTAGGGCAGCACTTTTTTCCCCAGGTAATGGCTACGTGGTATAGATGCATGTCCGTTAATTGGCTTGTCTTTGCTAATTTGCGTAACTCTCTAGCTAGGGTGCATATTTTCACAGTTTAATCGGCATCGATGGAAACTTACCGTTGAACTCAAGCTTAATTTTATATCTATGTTCGCAGTGGTGATGAGTATATCCTATCATCTGAAGAAAATTATGAAATGTCATGAATATATTCGCCATTATAAGCACAATATGAAAGTATCCGTTGAATATACATTTATAGTAAACCCAATTGATATAGTGCCGTGATTAAGTGACAAGGATAACGAATAAAAATTCATGATACTCACAAATATCTTATAGATTGCGTTAATGGTTAAATTGTAAATTGTGGTGTTATATTGAGAAACCTATGAAGTAAACAAAGATTCAAGTGTAGTATTAAGTTTGATACACGCGTAATTATAATTAAAAAAAAACCGCGTGTAAATATGTGATCGATTGTATGCTTACGATGGATGAAACGTTGTAGTATTTATCAAAAACTTGCACTGGAGACGGATCCCAAATTTCTAAGATAAACTGAAAATAGGTCAAATTGCTGTCTTTTCTCCAAATTTCATCACTCCATGTAAATCTTCCAGAAGCGGTGTTGTTTTGCGATGTTGTTTCTCTTCTGAAAGTGGCATTCACCAGGCCAAGACGGGGCTCTTCGTCCCGTCTATCTATTTATGTTAGTAGATGTTGTTACACATAGGAAGAAGACGTATATAGCTAAATTTAGCACCATGGAACATCACTTTTCACGTGCTATGTATAATTTATCAATGATGATATTGTTATATAGACCCTTGGCTTTTAGAATAACTTATACACAATACAGATATTTTGTAAAATAAAAAGATATTAACAAGTAAAGAAACTTATGTACGCTTTGGCTGAAAGATTAATATTTTTTGTTGTCTACTTACATGAACATCCGCATATCTTTTTGTTATTGATCTGTATACATGCTGAAAGATTAAGCATGCATCTCATACCGTTACTTTAGCTGGGGTCTTATGGAAAAAGGAATACCGAGTAACAGGGGTTTGACTTTACAGACACGAGAAAATTTTTCTCTCATGCATGATTCTTAGGCATTTCAACGCGGCTTTCATAGTTTCATTACTTCATACTTCATTACCCATATCTTCACGTTCCACCCCCTCATAGAATATTATAGAAAACAATTATTATATATATATATATATATTATATATATATATTATATATATTATATATATTATATTATACACCCATTTGCAAAAACGTTGGCCGCAGATATATAGATAGATAGATACCCGAAATTTAATTAGAATTGCATATGATGTGTAATATGATTGAAATCCCATGCAAATGTGATTATATGCATTTCTAATTAGACTTCGAGTATCTATATCTATCTATCTATCTGCGGCCAACGTTTTTGCAAATGGGTGTATATATATATATATATATATATATATATATATATATATATATATATATAATATATATATATATATTATATATATAAATATATTATATATATTTATATATAATTATATATATATATTTATATATATATA